TAATAGACAGGCATAAACGTCAGTCGTGAACACTTTGACAAAAGTAGAAATACATGGATAAACATGTAAAGGGGGTTACACACATGTACCATGCCCTTCATAATTAACCCTCGGTGCACATGCGCAGCGAGGGTTACAGTAGTTGCTTTGTCTGTGTGTGTGTCGACTCTTATTCTGGCACTACAGGCTACGAGGCGGCCTGTTAGCGATACCAGCAGCTTCAGAACTACGCAGCCTGAAAAATAAACAGGCGATTTTCCTGAAACGACTGCGTTCGAGAGATGCCGTGAAAACAAGCGCAGTGCGCCGAGGGTTTGCACTACAGTGCTTTTCATTACCAGTAGAAGCAAGACCCCCTACTTGCCTATCTAGAGTGAATGCACTTTCTGTGAGCACACCGTTAATGAAGCATTACAATATTATTATTAGCACGCAGCTAGAGATAACTAAACACATCGTGCCATTGCAAAGATAGGAGAAACAAGATTGACGTCCACAGTCCACACGTGCGTGGGCTAAACTCGATCGTGGGATGTTTAACAAACAAAGCAAGTGCTCAAGTTAGAGGTAAAGTAGCCGCCCTACATACTTATTCTCTATCTACACCGAAGATCCCCATTCTTCGGACATTGAAAGCTGTTAGAGATTGAAAGAGAAGGTAAGTATATATAACATACACACAGGACTGGTAGATATAAGTTCCAGCAATAGCTAACCATCCACTGCCGTGTAACTCTCAAGGGGGAAATTATAAGAATGAACACTAATTAAGGCACAGTATGATGTCATGATGATGTATCTAAAAATCAGGTACCTAGTGCTGTTTACCCCGCTGGGCATGGTCACAAGATGATTTGCCTTAATTGACTAAAAATGAACAATCCCCATACACACCTTCTGTCACACTGTACACATGCACCATAGCTCCAACCAATAAGTATAATGACATCACCATTACATAATGGTCAGTAGTGTATAGGAAACGGTTTTTATCCTGGAAAGTAAGGAAGAGGTGTGTAGTTACATCCTGTGTGTCACAAGTGTATCATATTGATAGGGACAGGATAGTGTGTGAGCACATTATGTACAGATGTGTGTACAATCTGTATATTATACTGGACTGATTGTGTGTACAGGTCTCGGCATGGTTTTACTACAAAAGGAGCAAGACTATAAATGGAGTGTGGCTCTGGGTCTTCAGGGGCTAGGTGCTGCCAGGTACAAGATGCCTGCATAGTCAGTATAGCAGTGCACATTCTAGTTGGATGATGTAAGACTCAACCTCACCACACACACACACACAAGAAGCAGTATTATATCACTGACAAAAGAAAGCACGCACCATGTGACCAGCAAGAGTTTTGATTCACAAACCAATCGCATTCAACCAACACTACGTACATGCATGCATAGGCACACATCAACTTGTGCATCTATGCAACTCCCTCCTAAAAGTATGCCTGACCAGTGGGTATGTTTTCACTATGAGGTCATCATCTAGCACCACTCATAAAGAGTCATGTGTGTTATATACCAGTTATGTACAAGTGTGTACATACACAGATGGTGTGTCCACCCACAAAAGGGCAGGAGGTAGGGGGAGGGATGAAGGAAGGGGAAGAGGAAGGTGGGGGGAGGGACTCCTCCCAAGTTATCCAGCAGAATTCCTCAGTTTACAAACTGACATCTTAAACAGCCGCTAGTGTTTGTCTAGGACTGACTTTTACTTCCAGTGCAAGCTTTAATTAAGCCCGCCACAGCGCCACGTAATGTGGCAAGTACTCAGACAATCAGGAGGGAAATTTTCACCCGACAATATCAACAAAGACGATGAATAGAAACGAACACTGTGTCTTTGATGCACAGAGGAAGTGCCTGCACACATCTCATGCACCTTACTGACATGGCCTGTAAACCCCACCTCGTATGCATTAACCCACACACCTGTGTTGCCTTGCATGTGTTAGCTCCTAAAAGACCCTTCATGATCGTGTACTAGGCCGTTCTAGTATAATAGGGTATCAGTAACAGTCATTATTGGGAAGGGAATGTACATTATTATCAATTCCCTGATTCCTCCTCCGAGCAGTGTGTGTATACAGCGACCGGAACTGGTACATGTGATCGTGCTTCACTGGTTGACCTTTTACGGTAAAGTTGGACATAGCGGTCGTGGTTTCTGTGCCACAGTGTTTATCCACAGGTGGTCTCACAGTATTAATGTGTATAGACAGACAGACAGTGACTATAGGGAGTCAATTGGTTTCATCAATTCCGTTAAGTAAAAGTGCATATTATACCGCCGTGCATTTCGACTCTGTCGTAGCATTATGTTTTCACTCACAATCAGTATAATACAAATGTATATTTTGTTGGAATTTTACTACCAAGACGGAGGAATGTAACTGGAATGTACACAGAGTCAATTGAATGTCTTCTACCAACCAGTGTACATATGTACATAACTGCGGTCTACTCCACTTACACAGCGTTTGTTCAAGTAAGTATATAGACTATATACCGGAAGCAGCATTTCTTCGGCTTTTATTACAAACCACTGCCTTGTTTGTAGTGCTAACTAACAGTCGGAAGCCCATGCCCCTTGATTCACATGCACAAAGTTTACACAGCAGTTAAAACATGTCTTGTTCTTCCCGGGAACACTTTGTACCATCCACAGCCTGGCCAGGTAATACAATACATAGCCCCAGGTTGACATACAGATGTCTTTGACAAGGTTTGAAAGGTATGTACATAAACAAAAACGCTAATACATTAGTTGATGGGGGAAATACACACACAACATTATCAGTGACTGCTAGCATAAAATTCACACAAGTGCCTCTAGTGTCGCCACAAGAGCCTCTAGTGTGTTATTACAGGTCTTAGGCAAAGCATGGTTTAAGTTAGTGGGATCTACTGGAAAAGCATCCCATCGCGTCCAGTCAACCGTACGCACTCAAAACTACCTCTACAGGACTGTTGCTGATGCATGACATGCTGTACCTACAGATCAGATGTGAAGATGTTTCTACAATGGACTACTCCGGGGGTTAACTCTTGTGCTTTAGTAGCAAACTTTTTTGCATAGAGGTGGTGCAGCAATAAAAACTCCTGCTCACAAAATATTGTTTAAGAACTTTCACGGTTGACTCGTAAATAGTCAAAAAAGTTATCTCCCTCACGATTGTCCCACTACATATTGGTTATATAGTGTAGTGAGGAAGTGTGGTGAGGGAGTGTGGTGAGGTGTAAACTGACTGTTATGGAGTCTCCGAGAGCAGCCACGATGCCAATGTCTTTAGGTGTCAAGAGATGAGCTGTGGGGAATAAAATAAGACGGACATTCAATGAATTACGCGGAAATTAAGTAGAGAAAACAAATGTTACAAGGTCGTTACATTGTATGTATTGGTGTGGCACCGATACCAGTCAATGATGCAAAGGTCATGCCAGTACAATGCTGTGTGTCTGCCAGTCTGTGCAACAGACTCAATACTCAGTGCGACATATGCACGATCCACGCTCAGGACAAAAGAGCTTTCGACGGACGGGAGGCAAACACAGACATGACTCAGAGAGGGCTGGTTGCTGGTACACACCAGCCACGCTCACTCCCACTGGCCCACTGGTACTAAATGAACGTCTTTTCAGAAGCATGAAACATGCTCGCACACACACACCCCGCAACACACACACACACAGACATGCACACAAAGAACGGTCACATTCTTACCCTGAAAGCTAGCACTACCTCACATAGAAAGGCATCCCTATACACACACACCGCACCCACGTGTTACTTCCTGTCAGTAGGTGCACAGTACGCACCCTCTGTCACATGACAAAGAGAATCTGCTGTTAGGCACTCTCCTAAGACCCTCAAAGAACCCCTGATCATACATAGGTGACAGACCTCAGCATGCCTTTTTAGGTCAAGCTGGTAAAGGTTTGGGGTACCACAGGAAATAAGTCAGGGCAACCAAGCAGGAGGGGATTCCCCTGGTTATTAAGTGGGGTATATAGTCACAAAAGCAGGGAGGAAGAGGAGGTAGGGTCAGGATATTGGGATGTAGTGTGTGGGAATGAGGATGGAGGCTTTAGTTGTGAGGTGTCCTCTCCTGACAGAGGGAGCAGGGTTGCCAAGGATACAGGAGGCACATCATGCTCCAACTTCCAATTGAGGTCACAATGTTCAAGAACACATCCGATGCCAATCAGGAGGCTTTCAGACTGACACACTAGCCATTGACAGTACACTGGTTTAGGCATAATACAGCACCTTGGTGAAGATAAAAAATTTGGCTCTACTATAATATTTGCATACGTACGCATATATAGTGAGGCTAATATATCAACCTACATTGTAATAGGTATAATATTAGACTAAAAATAGCTGCATTCGATCAGTCACCAGTATGGCAGCAGTCACTCCTCTATAGCGGACACAGATGGTAGTCACAGCATACATACATAGATCCCCACTGTTCATACCAACTATGAAATTATATTTATGTGAGGGCATTATGTAGTGTTACGATGGGATTGTAACTGATACGTGTAGTGCTAATCACTCCCTCCGAGTATATCCGATAAATTGCACACTATAAAGGGGCAGACAACTTACTCAGTGCTATATATAAACTACTGCAACTCCATACATTTCATTGCCATGAGCTGCTTGGGAGTATATTATGACAGCCATGGTATAAACAGCTGGGACAAGGAAAGACAGTATATAAAGCAGCCAGCGTTCCTTGGGAGTATATGACAGCTATGGTATAAACAGCTGGGACAAGGAAAGACAGTATATATATACAGCAGCCAGCGTTCCTTGGGAGTATATGACAGCTATGGTATAAACAGCTGGGACAAGGAAAGACAGTATATAAAGCAGCCAGCGTTCCTCAATACGACATGTTTATACATGATAATCCCATGTGTGATGACACCACCATAATGCTGCAAAGGAAACTGATTTCGAGGAAAATGGAGATACCTATCACGTATACATACATACCTACCACGTTAATACATATCACGTTCATACATATTGTTGCTGGGAAAATCCGGAACCTACAAAATCCCCCGATACATCAAGTGTACTGCTGGATCTATAGTGTGGTCGTAAACAAATGATCTCAGTTACACAACTGCAGACAATACGACACATACATAATATAAACAGAGCCAATAATAGTGAGAGAGATTCCTCTTGTACCTAATTGATTCCCATTCCAGTCACTCCTACTCACAAACTAAAATAGAAAAACTTCCATTTACCTAAAAATCCCCCAAACCCCAATTGCACTCTATGTATTATACATACACATGGTAAGGTTTTCCCAAATAGACATTATGGCGGGTATTGTATGCACATACGTTCTTTCGCAAAACAAATTTCGTTAGAGAATGTTAATTGGGCTAACATCCACCACCCATGATTGAAACTAACTCGGTGTTAACGCCCAAGTTAAATAATGACATCATCAAAAATGACATCGTTGAAAATTCCAAGGCCAGACTGTCGACATGGCAAAATGCCCAGGGAACGTAAGGTTGTAGTATAGCGGTATAGGCGGGCAAAGGATGGGATACGTCAACATTGGATGCTTTTGAGCTTACAGACAGAATACACACATGGTAGTTTCACTAGCCTTAGCACTACAGCCCCCTACCACTTGCGTAGGTTTAAAGATAAACGTAAGTTCCCCTGGCAAGACATGTTCTTTTTGACTAGTAGCTTATGCACATGTAAAACACACACATGTACATAATACAGGCTAAAACGGCCTGACACACCACATCTGACAATTCACCTTACAACAAACACAACCTATTATTAGGCTAGTCCATGTAGAGTACGACATTTGAGTGCTATTGAGCGTTTTTTACAATTATGCGCACAGTACACTTACACATTCATAATATATAGAGCAATTCAGAAGACTAGGAAGACACAATACGGTCGCCAATAACAACAACTAGTCACAATGCTACTTATGTACATACAAGGATTATGTGTGTGGAGTAGACACGTACGTACCTGATGTGGCAGGTTTCCAATCTCGTATCTCACAATCCTCTTTAGTAAATTCACAACCGTGGCACTAAAACGAGTGAAGATAGAACGTGAGGTGTAAATGCATAATAATAATAGAGGTAAAGTTTCAGAGGATAAAAATTTCAATTTTAGAGGGCAAACAATCTGTGATCTGTTTTCATGAATCTTTTCCCCTTGGAATTTTTTCTGCCATGCTTATAAGCGACACTCGTACCTGTTAGAGCCAACGTGCTGCTGCTCCACTGTCCCGCGAGGTATTGCGACGTTTTTCCTAGCACTAACGTTCAGCTAGTGACAGTGCAATTTGTACTTTGAACTTCAATGAAAACGGGAGAAAACGGGCAAGGTTTACAAATGCGGGTGAAACCTGCCACACCCCTACGGCGTCCGCGCATAAAATTAACGGCGTGTAATCGGTTAAGCATGGTAATTATGTACATGGAGCATTAAAATTGGCAGAAATACATCACATGGTCTAATACCTTCATGTAAATCAAACTCACACTTAGTGCCATCGCCGAGAAAGTCGGTTCAGGTGGACTTGTCATGCTCTGGATGGTGCGGTTCCACATGTCAATATACTCTATAACGAGAGGAGGTGTACCCATTATTATTGCCTGATTAGTTCATTAATGTATCTCGCACATTATTTATTACCACGATCAAACCTACACATAAAAACCATCCCTCTAGTTATGTGCGATACCACAATTAACAAACTGGACGATTACAACGGAGATTAGACATACGTGGGTTCACAACTATTACAATACTGTGCAGTGTGACTGTATATAACTGAGAGTGAAAGACGCCTGAGCGGGTCTAATCAGACTAAGATCAACATTCAGATTACCCGAATAATACACGACAGGTTTCAGGTACACAAACACATGTAATCGGAAACAGAACTTGAAAGACACGGCGCATTACATCACTAAGTACGGTAGTACATATAGGGAATATCACAGGTTATCCTGCATTATGCCCATATAATTATTTGATATAGATAGCCATCCATGTGTCTATTATCATTATATTATTAAGCTTGTGAACACCGTGGTTAGGACATCGATCAATGCGCACACAGGCTGGCTGCTTGCTGGTTTAGGCACAGGATCGTTGATACAGGGATGCCCTCCCTGAAGTTGTAATCTATTGCATATGTATTCATGCAATTCTCGATATGGACATAATGGATCGTATTCACAATCACATGATATTGCTTAGACGTGGCGTAACCACATGACGCGATCCCTCAGAACACTCTCCCCTACTGCTCCATATGCAACCTTTCTTGTCAACTAAACAACAGCAAAACCTGCGTAGGTCGAAGTCCATGGGTACATTCTACACGCCACTTCTAATCTGGTTACAAACATGGGTGGTATTCAACCTAGTCCAGTATAGCAACTTGCACCTATCACAATTTGGTTTTCAGGATTAGCGCTGCACGTGTAAAGCTGCAGGGATTTTTTTTTACAATCCAGATTGTAAATCGCTGTGTAAATGCGACTAATTTTCATGTAAAGTGCCCTCTAGAGTTCATCCATGCAAGCAGTCGGATGGCGGTCGGATTTGCTTCATATCCTGAATGTACAGTACCCACGTATCTCTGTTTCCCATTCCCTCAGCTCCAGGGACTAGGGACGTAGTCCACCGACCCTGAGTCATGACGGGGAAACGATCTGATGTAGTTTCTCTTCAAGAGAAACGGGAATATGAAAATGCCAATTACGTGAGGCACAGTTGAGGTCACATGCACTCTTAGCTCAGCGTTTATAGTTTGAAGTTTGAACAAGAGACTTTACGGGAGCGAGTATTCACAACAATAAAGGTGCTGCATGTAAAACTGAACATTGTGTTACTGTTGAGAGATACAACAATACCTCCAAAAGTGGAATGCCACATATGCTCACATCTGGTGTTTCTCTATCCGCCTCTGAGGTTTTTGTGCCGGCAAACCCCACATGGTTGTTGGTTTTGCTTCATCTGCTGTGCGTACTCATGTAGCGTGCCTCCCAAAGATGACACATGTACTCTGTCTCTCCCTGTATCTAGGTCACTGCAATGCTAGCTACCTCCCCTCCCCCTAGATTACATAGGCTCTGGGACACTGCCTACAACACGCAAACTAAACAACAAAGTCACAATGATAAGCAAAGGCAAACATGACTACAGGTATGAACTAGTGCATGCAACCACACCCACTAGCCTCACAGCTCTCTTGGATGGCAATGCTTCCATGCTCTCGGTAAGTATTATGGCTGCAGACATAACTACACCACGTGGATTGCATGACACAACAGCGTCCTCATCAATGGGTGTGTGAATTGTTACCTCTCATGCTCTCATCATCATCAGCCAGGGAGCAGCTAGCGGTCAGAACCGCTACCAGTGCTATCAGCAACGCGCGTGACATCACTTGCCGGTACGTAAGGCTGGGGAGTGGGAGGGAATGAAGGGGAATAGTCGGTGCAAAACAAACATAAGCGGATTTGTTGGGAGCGAGTGTGACCGTTTGTTTGTCAACGCAAGCAAGGCACGCGGAGAAATCCCTGCTAGTGTTTCTCACCTTACACCGGACGAGGGAGAACTTACAACAACAAGCCTGCAAAGACCCCGACGGAACTGCTACGGGTAACTAGTTCCAGTCCTCCGAACAGCTTTTTGGCCAGTCATGTGACACTGCTGCCAAGCTAGCTAGCCTAGCCCCGCCCTCTTCTCTGCTGGAGAGAGATTTTCTGCAACGTGGCTGGGCTATGTTTAGTAACACATGACGTCATCATAGTGGCTATTTTACCGCACGCCGGGTATTGCATCAGTTCAGTTTTTGAGAGAGAGAGATCAATCGAGAGTCAGCCAGCGGAAGATCGCTTTTCCCCTTCCCCTAGCGTACTTTAATGTGTAAGTTGTCGATCGGCAGTGTTTAAACATTGAGAGAGAGAATTTTTAGCCCAGTCTTCGCGTGTGTAGTCTAGATATTGCTACAAATGGACAGATCCTTACGAGCGTACCCTCTGTATGTCACTTCAGATATGGACGGTAGTCTACTGAACGAACTGGAGTTCTTCCCTCCCACGAATAAGTCCGCCAACAGCGTAGCCGGTGCTGGTGCTGCCCAGTCCAGCAACTTTGGGCAGAGCGGCCTGGGGCTGTACCAGAACGAGGAGTCGGTCGACTTTTCCTCGTGGCTCCCAGACGTCTTCAGCAGCGTCGGCGAGGTGCCCACGGCCGTTGTAGCCGTCCCGTCTCCCCAGACAGTCGCCACCGGCCCGACGAGTGCCCGACAGAGCTACCGCGAGGCACCTACGACCACTACGAGCGGAGACGTCGCCGCTGCCGCATTTTCGTCCTCCTTTGGCAACTTCTGCTCCCCGCCCACTCCGCAACAACCGCCAAACCACAACTCCCGGATCAACATGTACGACACTGAGGGCTCCGGAGCTGTGGGTGGGATCTCCCTACCCCACTCCCAAACCACTATCACCAGTCTAACTGACCCAACCTCGCTCCTTCTCCCTGACTCCCTCGTGGGGACGAGACCAGCCCCGGGCAAGGCATCCAAGAAATCGTCCAAGAAAAAGACGCCCGAGAAGGACACGAGGGAGTACCGGGAGAAGCGAGAGAGGAACAACGTTGCCGTGAGAAAGAGTCGGGAGAAGAACCGGGTCCAGATCATGGAGACCCAGCAGCGGGTGAAGGACCTTGAGGACGAGAACTCGGCCCTCCAGTCAAAGATCACGCTCCTGTCCAAGGAACTCAAGGTGCTCAAGGACCTCTTTGCCAGTGCGGGGGTGAGCCAGCCGGCTTCCCTCTGCCTCAAATCAGAGCCCGACAACTGAAGGAGTGAGGTGTCTTTGAGTGTGAAGGGAGAGAGCACCTATACCCAACCCCCTATCCCCCTCCCCCCCAACCACCTCGCATCGGCAATGGGAGCTAACGTTAAGTAACCCATGGACAATCGATACTGGACAACGGAAACGGATATTTTCGGTGGCGATGAAGCTGTTTTCTATTGGCTGCTATATTAGCAGGTTTTGTGCGCTTTCGAGCTCTATATTTCACCCACTCATCTCTTATTGGTCTCATCCTCTCCCCCTAATTTTTGTAACTCCATTTTCTTTGGTGTTCTTCTTGTCCTTGTAGAGAGTTCTATTTGTGGAATGTATTCTATTTATAGCCAAAGCTACCCTGGCTCTAAACTTAGTGTAGCACTATAGATGGTATATTGCTATGACCTCACCCATAGAATATTTGTCACTACAGCAAACTATGTATTATAGTCATTCTGTTGCCAGCCGCAATCAATAATAAACCGCCATATATATATTATATATATCACCCTTCTGATCATACATATAAAATTTTGTTATTGAGAAGATGATACGAACAGTTTTTTAGCACAGCACCACATTTTAGAGCGTAAACTTGAGAAAGTTCCTGAATTTGTGCGCCTGCTACATGGTCGATATTGAGAGGGTTTCTCTCACTAATCAAGGAGACCCACTAGTGACAGTGGTGGGGAGGATGGGCACGGAGAAAGTCTGCGCTGCGTTGATGAGACCTTGGATCGTGACGTCTCCAAGAGACTCCGTGTCTTCCTGGCCAGACGACATGGCAGGGACGAGGGACCCGGTCGATAATGATGGCTGGGTGACCCCGAGTTGATTGAGAGGTAATGAAACCGAGGTAGTGTTTACAGAGGTCACTGGTAGAGTGTCTCCCTTGTTGGCAGCTATCATCATCTCAGGCACCACGTTTAGTCCTCGTAGGCCAGGGGCTTCCCCAAGGCCTGCCACCACCACACTCTGGTACCGAGGAACTGCTCCACCACCACGGACGATGCTGGTACTAACAACATCACTCGTACTACCAGTGGTAGCAATAGTAACAACATCACTGATACTGGCTAAAGGCCCAGTGCTCGTTAAAGGTTGATAAATGAGGGGCAGTGTATGTGGGAGGGAGCCAATGATGGGTGGATCGGGGGACTTCTGCGGACTCTCTTTCCCACGGAACCTCCCACTGTAGCCCCTGCACCTCTTGACGGCATGTCTGTGCCGTGACTCGTGCATATATTTCTGAGTATATATAGGACATGTGTATGATTATAGGAAGAGGTGTAATAATGTGTGAATATATCTAATAGGAATCCCGCGGAATGGATAGTGGGCTATGTAAAGGAAATCCCTCAGGAAGGCAAGCAATTCTCGAGATATTATCTATGATGGTCCCACAGACTGGCCACGTGCATGCATATAAGACAGGCTGTTTGTACAGCAGTTTGACACACACAGGTGTTGGTGTTGGGAGGCGGCAATAATACTCCAAAGCCAGCTACAAATTTGAGGAACCTCCTTCATCACAACACTTAATGCCTTGGAATTTCGGGGCCACCTCAAACCAAAAACCGTTTGTATATTTGTACAATGTGTGTGCCCACCTGTCTCTGTTTAGGTATCTTTCCTTCAGCCTCCAGCTTGGCCCTGGCCTGCCTCCTCTTGAGGATCCGGTGGTACTGCTTGGCATTCACGTAGAGTGGCTCCTCCTCAATGCCCTCGCCATTCGGGAGACGGGACAGGGAGAGCAGGGCAGTCGCCAGGTTAGGCAGCACCTAATGTGTCCATTCACACAGTGAAACCTCTGAAAAAGGCTCTTTATAAAAGACGCTGTTTTTCTGCATCACCCTAACACAGTAGTACTTACAGTAGTGCACGATCACCTGAGTTAGGGATGTCTCTGAATAAAGGACACTTTTGGGTGTATCCAAAGTATTTAGAGGATTCAATGTACATACATGTCATCAGTACAATTAGTACACGCTAGGAAGTGAGTCACATAGAGAGTGGAAGATGAGCAGGGATGTGGAAAAGAGTGGATGAGACACTTTCCACAATCACAGAGGGATGGAATAGGAAGTGAGGGTACGATACTCAGGACACACTATAATAGTTAAGGATGCTGTAGGGTCTAAGGGTGGGATGTGCATAAAGGAAGTTGCTTTGGGAGGTTCACAGTTGTGACACTTAGGAAAAGAATGGGAAGGCTGAGGGGAACCATTTTAAGGGGGTACCGTGAGTTTTGAAAGGGAAAGCGTGTTTCAGTTTGCATTTGAGGCAGTTGTGAGGGTAAACACGTGAGGGGTAAAGTCTCGGGTAACATTATCTCACCTTCCCCGTCACGCCAGTGGTGGAGGGGGAGCTGGCTGCAGTGTCAATACCGAGAGCAGTGGCCAGCTGGGCCGTCAGCAGAGAGGTGACTGCAGACTGCTGCCCAGGCTGGTCCCCTGTGGCTGTTTGAGTCTCTACTGATCCCTGCTGCTGCTGCTGCTGCCGCTGCTGTCTCAGCTGGGAGAGGAGGTCACCTGATGTGAACGGAGTGTTCAATAACGAGGAGGAAGAGGAAGAGGAAGAGGGGGGAGGATGGAGTTGAGTGGTGGGTGTTGTTGAAGAGGTAAAGGGGACAGTGGCGGTTGAGGTGGAAACGTCCTGTAGTTGTTGCTGGATCTGTGTGGCCACATTGGCCGCCTGAAGCTGTGTCTGGAGCACCTGAGACAACACAGCACCCAATGAAGATGGTGAGCGTATTTTACCCGTTATAAATCGAGGCAGAGGGGAAAGCTCACCTGCAACAGGCTCTCTGAAGACTGGGGGTAAAAGTTTGAAGTGTCAGTGATTTGGGACTGGATGTCGGTGCTTCCCAGGGAAGATACTCCAGTGGTCTCCATGGGAAACAAACACACGAAGGTCGCCGCCGCTAAGGGAAGAGTGCGTGCTAATTAGAGTCAGGTTTACTTAGTTCTTATGCGCATGCGTAAGAAGGGGGTGTGATCGACCGTCATCGATCATGTCGCTATCGATATCAGACGTAGAGAGAGAGCTAGATCCAGGAGAGGGAAATGGTACATTGGGAGACAAGTCCAGCCCGCCCGATAGCGAAGAGATATCGCCAGTGGACGCAGTGAAGCTCCAAGCGGAAGGAGATGTGGAGTTAGTGGTCGAGGAGGACGCTTACAGCGGAGATGAAGATCACACGTTGCTCATCGCCGTCCACTCCAAGCAGGCTGGAGGCGGTGGGAAGAAGGGCGCTTCGTTACTAAGTGCTGAGACTCTGTTCGAGCGCGACTCCTGGAGATACAGATACACCAGGCGTGGTCTGGTGGTAGCTGGGCTGGCGCTGCTTTTGGGGCTAGTGACTGCTTCCATCACCCTCATAACTCTCTCTCCTAGCTGTCCAAGCACCTCTTGTACTGCTGAGTTGCCAGCCGAAGAACTCCTGTGGTGGCAGAAGACGGTTATCTACCAGGCTTACCCTCGCTCGTATCAGGACAGCAATGGAGACGGAAACGGTGACCTGAACGGCATCAGGAGTCGACTGGACTACTTCACCGATATCGGTGTCGGGACGGTGTGGCTGAACCCAATCTACCCCTCCCCTCACATGGACAACGGCTACGACATATTCAACTACACCGACATTGACCCGCTCTACGGAGACTTGCAGGACTTCAAGGATCTCCTGGAGGACATGCACAAGAAGGGACTCCACATTCTGCTGGACTTTATACCCAACCACACTTCAGAGGATCATCCGTGGTTCAAAGAGAGTCGCAGCAGTCAAAACAGCTCCAAGAGGGACTGGTACTTATGGGCTGACGGTAAAGACGGCGGTCCACCGAACCACTGGATCAGCGTGTTTGGAGGCAGCGCCTGGGCCTATGACGACGTCACAGGGCAGTACTACTACCATGCATTCGGAGACTTCCAGCCAGACCTCAACTACCGGAACCCAGGGGTACAGGAGGCAATGAAAGACGTGATGAAGTTCTGGTTGGACCTCGGTGTGGACGGGTTCCGGGTGGATGCCGCCATCTTTCTACTGGAGGATTTGCGAGCTGAGGAATGAGACGAGAAATCCCGCCTTCCCTCCCGGGAACTGCACCACCAACATAACCAGTCGTGACTGCTACAACTCACTGGTCCACAACCTAACGACCAATTACGAAGGGGTTCACGGGGTGATTCGCGGCTGGCGGGAGGTCCTGGACTCCTACTCGAGCCAGGGTCAGGCGAGGGTCATGGTGGGAGAGGTGTACGACCCTGTGGACCAGGTGGTCACCTACTACCAAGACCAGTTTGACTTCCCCTTCAACTTCATCCTCCTCGGCAACTACAACTGGACGGGGACTCGGGTGAGCCAACTCGTGTCCGACTGGCTCGACAGCGTCCCCGAGGGAGCGTGGTCCAACTGGGTCCTAGGGAACCATGACAACTCGCGGATCTCGTCCAAGGCCGGGGTCTACCTGGCGAGAGCTCTCAACGTCCTCCTACTGACACTACCAGGGACACCCACCACCTACTATGGGGAGGAGATCCTAATGACAGACGTCTACGCCCCTCCTCCGGAGAGACACGACGTGTCTGGTGAGGACAGAGACAAGGAGAGGACTCCAATGCAGTGGGACAACAGTACCAACGCAGGGTTCACCTTCCCAACCAGCAAACCCTGGCTCCCACTGGCCACCAACTACTCCGTCTATAACGTTGAGGTGGAGACTAACAACACTCTCTCGCCCCTCTCTCTCTACCGACAGCTTACTGAGCTGCGCTCCACCCACCCCGCCCTCCAGTACACCGGCTACCAGACCGTCTTCAACTCCACCGACGTATTTGCCTACCTGCGCTCTGCCAACGCTGCCGGCGAGATTCTGGTGGTGATTAATTTCTCAGAGAAGGAGACAAAGGTGGACGTGAGTGAGGGAGCCAAGCTGGAGGAGCCAGTCGTTCTCCTGTCCAGCAATCTCAACCGCACGGGCAGCATCAGTCTCAGTGACGTGGAGCTGCTTGCGGGAGAGGCTCTTCTCATCAAAAGTAGCACCGACTGCTTTTAGACTTTTTCATCAATATTTATTTAATTTCATGTCATTATGTTTTCAAGGTCATGAAAATGTGTGGTGTCATGGAGTAATGGTGTGACAGATAACTAGTACAGACGTATAATTAATATCAAAAATCGCGCCATTTGGACTACTAAGGTTAGCTCGCTCCCGCTGGCAATAATGTGCAGCTCTCAAGTGACTTTTTCATGGTTTGCAAAGTGTATTGCTTCATCACACACAGAGGATAGGGTTAAATATTGAAGTCTGCGATAATAATTATGACATGTTCAGGTTAGTATATGTAGATAACCTGTGATTGGGGTAGTACTGTTCTGAATCAGATTAGGTAATCATGATAATGAAGGTCACTAGATGTACACCACCTTTGAGTGCTGCGGGTCGTATGAGACATCCTGTGTGCCCTCTATATACATGTGAAGCAACATCAGAAGTGTGCTACTCTGCATGTACTTAACTTACTGCGGGGTATCTGCTGATCACGGCGGCGATTAGCCAACATCATGTCAATGAACGGCTGGAGAGAACCAGCTGCAACTGCAAGCTCAGAGGAGGCCCCTTGGGCTGTGGTGGTGTGGGTGTGAAGATTCGATCATAATCTCTTGAAAAATAGCAATGCAGTCCTAAACCTCTCTTTCGTGGCAAAAAAACTTTTACTACCAACTAATACGTATGATGGGTATATATACCTTTAACGTTCGGTGACTCCTTCTCTACATGCATTATGTGGAGAGATATATCAGACTGATGTAACAACACAGCAGTATATATATATACCCTCTATACATACCCTTGGAGTGCTTCAAACTCCCATCATAGTTGCCACCTGAAAAGAAGACACAGCAGAATTACATAAAAACGCCATATAACTTTTCCTCCTCTAGTGCAAAGGAGAGTTTGCTGTGGAGAGAGTTCACCACGAGCAGGTCAGTGATTGGTGAAGGTATGCTGAGAGGTGCACTAGGCTATACATGCTCATGGTGGCTAAGTTGGTAAACGTTTCTTTGCCAAAAAGCTAACCCTTGCTGAGGTAGCAAAACAGGGAAGTTTACTCAATATTCATAGTGATTCTAGTTTTCTAAATAGCGCGCCCTCCCTCATATATATGCACCTGTAAAAACTGTCTGTCTAAACTCCTGTTCAAACGCCACCCACTTCTAGAGTACGAACCTTGTTCCGCCATGTGTCATCAGCTCCTCTATCTGTGACCAGTATAGATTGCCGGGCAATGAAATCGTTTTTCAAAACGCACTATATACGCACACCCGTCAGATAACCACATGGTCATTGTTTTAGAGCCAGCTAATTTATCACTAAGTATGGTAGTATTAGTGGCGTTGATAAGGCCACCCTACCTTGAGAGATGCCTACTGTTCCACTACAGTAAGATGACCAGCTCTGCCATTCATCACTTCACTGGTTGACACCGGGTGAAAATCTCTCAAAATCTGAGATTCTCTCTTTGCTCTTTGCCACACTTGTTCTGCTAGCTCACATCAAGCGATGAGGTGAAAACGCAGGCTTGCACTCTGAAGACCATGTTAACAAATGTCAAATGTGGTATATACTACGTACGTACACCGAGAGAGGAAGTGATCTGCCCACCCCCTGCCTGCCCACTTCCTTCATTCTCTGCAGATGTGCTCACTATCGTGAATAAGCACAAGATTGAGGCAGTTGCTGATGAGTGTCATGTGCGACAATACATGTAACTTGCTCAATTAAGCAAGGTAAACCCCTCTCTACCTTTGAGATCGTCAGGCCGCATACAGTTAACGTGAAAGGCCACAGATCAGCACTGTCTGTGTTGACAAATAGTAAAAGGGAGCTCTGTTCACAAAACTGACTCTGTTCGGTAATTATGAGAGTGTGTACATACAAGCGCATGTGTAGCTACATACTGCATCTCCTACAAAGCGATGGTAAAGAGGACTGGGTTTTGAAGTGATAACACCAGAGAATTCCATACACTACGCCAGGAGATATGGGCCGGTACCCCAGTTAGCAGTGGCTGGTCACTGTCAGAGACAACTCCGTCTCCAATTTTATATTCCATCTCAGCCCAGTGACATTGTACATATCTCGTCCGGTAGGGAAGTTTTCGTTGCATTCTACTGCTACATGGAAGTTTTCTTGCTTCATAATTGTTCAAAAACTAGTCTACAATACTTAGATACGACAAATTTGACTGCAAACTTTTGCTATAATCAATGTGTAATAGATGGTCGATTCAGCTGTGCTTCCTTTAATATGCTTGAAAAAAGTACAAAAGCTAGGGCACCTTATTATCCACAGTGAAGTTTTCGTTGCATTCTACTGCCACATGGAAGTTTTCTTGCTTCATAATAGTTCAAAAAGTATCGCAATTACTTAGATACAACAAATTTCACTGCAATCTATTGCTATAATCAATGTGTAATAGATGGTCGATTCAGCTGTGCTTCCTTTATATGCTTGAAAAAAGTACAAAAGCTAGGGCACCTTATTATCCACAGTGAAGTTTTCATTGCATTCTACTGCTACATGGAAGTTTTCTTGCTTCATAATAGTTCAAAAAGTATCGCAATTACTTAGATACAACAAATTTCACTGCAATCTATTGCTATAATCAATGTGTAATAGATGGTCGATTCAGCTGTGCTTCCTTTAATATGCTTGAAAAAAGTACAAAAGCTAGGGCACCTTATTATCCACAGTGAAGTTTTCATTGCATTCTACTGCTACATGGAAGTTTTCTTGCTTCATAATAGTTCAAAAAGTATCGCAATTACTTAGATACAACAAATTTCACTGCAATCTATTGCTATAATCATGTGTAATAGATGGTCGATTCAGCTGTGCTCGTTAATATGCTTGAAAAAAGTACAAAAGCTAGGGCACCTTATATCCACAGTGAAGTTTTCGTTGCATTCTATGCTACATGGAAGGTTTCTTGCTTCATAATTGTTCATAACTAGTCTAGATCCACAAATTTCACTGCAAAAATTTGCTATAATCAATGTGTAATAGATGTGCGATTCAGCTGTGCTCGGTTTAATATGCTTGAAAAAAGTACAAAAACTAGGGCACCTTATTACCCACAGTGAGGATTCGTTGCATTCTACTTGCTACATGGAAGTTTTCTTGCTTCATAATAGTTTCAAAAACTATGCAACATTACTTAGATACAACAAATTTCCACTGCAATCTAGTGCTATAATCAATGTGTAATAGATGGTCGATTCAGCTGTGCTTCCTTTAATATGCTTGAAACAAAGTACAAAAACTAGGGCACCTTATTATCCACAGTGAAGTTTCTTTGCATTCTACTGCTACATGGAAGTTTTCTTGCTTCATTATAGCTCAAACACTAGTCTACAATACTTAGATACAACAAATTTCACTGCAATCTATTGCTATAATCAATGTGTAATAGATGGTCGATTCAGCTGTGCTTCCTTTAATATGCTTGAAAAAAGTACAAAACTAGGGCACCTTATTATCCACAGTGAAGTTTTCGTTGCATTCTACTGCTACATGGAAGGTTTCTTGCTTCATAATTGTTCATAAACTAGTCTAGATACCACAAATTTCACTGCAACATTTGCTATAATCAATGTGTAATAGATGGTCGATTCAGCTGTGCTTCCTTTAATATGCTTGAAAAAAGTACAAAAACTAGGGCACCTTATTATTCACAGTGAAGTTTTCGTTGCATTCTACTGCTACATGGAAGGTTTCTTGCTTCATAATTGTTCATAAACTAGTCTAGATACCACAAATTTCACTGCAAACATTTGCTATAATCAATGTGTAATAGATGGTCGATTCAGCTGTGCTTCCTTTAATATGCTTGAAAAAAGTACAAAAACTAGGGCACCTTATTATCCACAGTGAAGTTTTCGTTGCATTCTACTGCTACATGGAAGTTTTCTTGCTTCATAATAGTTAAAAAACTATCAACATTACTTAGATACAACAAATTTCACTGCAATCTATTGCTATAATCAATGTGTAATAGATGGTCGATTCAGCTGTGCTTCCTTTAATATGCTTGAAAAAAGTACAAAAGCTAGGGCACCTTATTATCCACAGTGAAGTTTTCGTTGCATTCTACTGCTACATGGAAGTTTTCTTGTTTCATAATAGTTCAAAAACTATCAACATTACTTAGATACAACAAATTTCACTGCAAACTTTTGCTATAATCAATGTGTAATAAATGGTCGATTCAGCTGTGCTTCCTTTAATATACTTGAAAAAGTACAAAAGCTAGGGCAACTTATTATCCACAGTGAAGTTTTCGTTGTATTCTACTGCTACATGGATGTTTTCTTGCTTCATAATAGTTCAAAAACTAGATTCAGCAAATTTCACTGCAATCTATTGCTATAATCAATGTGTAATAGATGGTCGATTCAGCTGTGCTTCCTTTAATATGCTTGAAAAAAGTACAAAAGCTAGGGAAACTTATTATCCACAGTGAAGTTTTCGTTGCATTCTACTGCTACATGGAAGTTTTCTTGCTTCATAATAGTTAAAAAACTATCAACATTACTTAGATACAACAAATTTCACTGCAAACTTTTGCTATAATCAATGTGTAATAGATGGTCGATTCAGCTGTGCTTCCTTTAATATGCTTCAAAAAAAGTACAAAAGCTAGGGCACCCTATTACCCACAGTGAAGTTTTCGTTGCTACATGGAAGTTTTCTTGCTTCATAAACTAGTCTACAATACTTATATACCACAAATTTCACTGCAAACTTTTGCTATTATCAATGTGAAGCTCTGTTGGTGTCTCAAAGGCTACCAAATGAATCAAGGTTTGATTTCCGCCCACAAGGGAGCCGATGGTCTAAGAGTAGTCAGTGAGAGCTCCTGACAGGACAAAGGCTGGGTGGCTCCTCCAGCTAGCTTGGCTCTTCAGCAAATAAGCAGACGGTCTAGGCATGGTTGCGCATGCGTAGAGAATTATCTGCGGTAGCTAGCTAGCTAGCTAGCTAGCTATGGAGTTTGTTCGTTCTTCTGACGATTTCTGTGCCGGGTACCTGCAAGAAGACAGCGACCTCGAGTTTTCAGACTGCTCCGAGGACGTCAGGTATTTTGCATTAGCACTAACTAGAACATTCCGTCGTAAAGTGTTCCACACCGGCATTTGTTCCAAATAATGCGCGCCATCGTTTGCTCCGTGGCTAGCTGGCTGTGTGCTCGCCCGCTTTGCAGACCAGAGTGTAGCAGCTTAGCCTTTTTCTTTCAGAGCGAAGATGCGTAATATTCCAGTAAGGAGGCTCATCACATCAGTAGAATGAATGCAAGTAAATACACTTCCGTCATGCAGTTCAGATGAAGAGAGACGGAGAGCAAGGAAGAGGTGTGGTGTGCCTGCTGTCAGGCCACCTCGAGGAGGAGGAGTAGGTGGGGAATGGAGTGAAGATGAATTTGAGAGAGACATGGAGAGTGAGCTGATGTGTGTCCTACAGACTGTGACCTCTCCTGATGCCCTCACTGCTGCTGTATCTCCGCCAGGTATGATGTGAGTGAAGGGAGTCTTCTACGACACCTCATTAGAGTCCGTTGCTGTTGCATTTTTTCTTAAAATAACCCATGTGTAGTTTTGTGAGAAAATGCAAGCTAGTTTTTATTTCCTAAATAGGGAATGATGATTTGTTATCTTACAGGTCAAATTAAGGGCAGGAGTAGAAAAAGAAGACAGCTTCAAGCGCCGAGGCCAGAGAGTAGGCCCCTGTCATTAGAACCCAGTTCCAGTGGGGGTGATAAGGAGGGGGAGGAGAGAGCATCAGTGATCAGGGAGCCAAAGAGGGAGAAGAAGAGAGAGGAGGAGAGGGAGGGGGAGAGAGAAGAGGAGGGGGAGAGGGAGGGGGAGGGGGAGAGGGAGGAGAGGAACAACTCGACGAAGCTGGTACCTACTACGACAAGCTATACTTTGAAACCAGCAGTAGTGAAGATGATGATGATGAACCAGGCAATGACGGAAATAACAAGGTACCTATACCATACTGCATGTAAATCAGGATATTTGAAAGACTTATGTACCCTTGCCGTAAAAAAGTCAAATCATGATGATTTTGTGGCCTGTCTCGAATACTGTAAACCTATTGAGTGCATGCTAATGCGTATGAAACTAATGACTGCCGATAATGTATTTTGAGTGAATCTTACTATCCCATGGTGAATGTGTGTGTTGGAGCAGGGGAAGGAGAGGAAGAGGGTGTCAGAGGAGGAGAAACGGAGTCAGCGACAGAGGCTGACTGACGAGGAGCTGTTCTATGATCCTCACATGGACGAGGAGGACGAGCAGTGGGTCAAGAGACAGAGAATGGCCTACCACAACGGTCAGTACCCCTGTACCACAACGGTCAGTACCCCTGACCACAATAGTCAGTATGTAGCTCCAACCTGTCGTCTTTCCCCCTTATTACTTTGCTTCATGTGGTGTTGTGGTGTTAGTTTACCCTCCCCCCAAATACTGTTTGCAGGTTTTTGTACACAGGACATAACCTCCCACTTGAGTGAAACATTTAGGAACATTTTAATTCAAATCCCCAAATTTTACATTGCATGGTGTGCGTGCTTACCTCAAGAGACAGTGGTCACGATGTGTGCAACCACAGCAGTCAGCCAGTCTATAGTCATTCTCTATATATATATATATATATAGAATAGCTACCACAATATTCAGTATGTGTGCATGGCAACAAGGAATGTCTTGTGTGTGTATGAGAAGGTGAAGGTTGTTTGCATTGGGGACTCAGATGGGATCGAAGTTTGTCAACACTGCTCTCAAGTGGTAATTTGGCGAGTCTCTCCCTCCTCCACGTGTGTATAATTACCCTGCCATTTTCTCCGCATACATAAACACACGCACAAAGTTGGTGATTTTGTTGGCCTGCTATGTTTTTAACTGTATGCATGTTTTGTAATGTGTGGGTTACACATGTGTGGGTGTGAGCGGCTATAATTCAGTTACGACTGTTCTTTTGCCACCATTTTAGGTTTGTATGTGTCTTTGTCCTTTTGAGGAGAATAATTGTCACAGAATTACCCGTAATAATTGTGAGAGTTTAATGCTATACAGTAATCCTACTTCTCTCTCTCCCTTACTTCTTGTCCCTCCCCTTCCCCTTCCCTCCCTTCCCACTCCCTCCTCCCCCTCCCTCCCTTCCCCCTCCCTCCCTTCCCCCTCTGTCACTCACAGTCAAAGTCTCCCAGAAGCTCAAAGAGGAGCAGGACAGGAGATTGGCTGGCCAGCAGCCACCATCCAATGATTCTTCCCACGAGGGAGCCCCGGGATCAGCATGCAGCGACCAGGGAGGAGGAGGAGGAGGAGAGAGGGAGCAGCGTGGCATTGGAGCACACAGCTCTGGGACTCTACCAAAGAGATCAGACGCTCACCTCAGCTGCCCTGCCTGTATGACCACTGTCTGCATAGACTGCCAGCAGTGAGTTTAGCCACACTTCTTTGGATCGAAAGAGAAAAGTTTCCAGGCTTGTCAGCCACACAAGAAACATTTCCGCTGATGGCTTACAATCTTGTTTTCCGTCACTTCAAAAGGAAATTGTCCAAAACGACCACCTAATGCAGTGAATGGAAAACACTTTCCCGCAACAATGCCCGCGTCTCTTTCGTTCAATTGAATGGTGGATTGGATGGTATGCATTCACAGCTAACACAGCTTGGCCTGCCCTTATTTTTCAGCTCTGATTTTGTTAGGTGTATCAAAAACTAATGTCTGGGTTAACTTGTTCCCCCGGAGACCCAAAATTCCCCAAAAATATCTCGAAAAATACCAGTGATGTAATAATTCATATTAGGTTCCTGCCACGCCTCTTGCTGCCACCATCACATGGATGTTCAGAGGTACTATGGTTGCCATGGTTTTATTCTAGAATTATCAAAGATGGGGTTGCTCTACCACATCCTGTAATCACTATTTTGCCCAAGGAATCTGCCCCTATATTTATTATTAGCTCATATCAGCTCACACAGATTGACTTCCTGTAGAGTGTTTGAGATCATGTAGCTATAAAGTACATATGTTGAGCGTTGATGACGATGTTGAGCAACGTTGCTGCATTTGCAACGCCACATCGGCTGGTCTTGTGGTGCTGGTGACCCTTTGAAGTCCAATATAGCTGATGGTGATGCTTTGTCATGTGGTTGAGGTTGCTAGACTGTGCAGACTCAGGAAGGGAGTTTATGTTGGGCTTCACTGGCAAGGTTTGCGATAATGAGCATTTAGCAATACTGTCACGTAGAAATTTCTCGGTTTTGTAACCGTTTGAGAAAGTGAGGAGGGACGTTTGTTCAATTTGGGACAGAAAATCTGCCAAACTCTTCTGCACACCGTTTTTGTTTGCCACCATGGCACGAAGCTTTTCTCCCTCGGAAGTGAAACTGACAACATAAGACTAAAGCCATGTTTAAAAAGAGTGCAGTTGAATCGTCAATGAACTTCTGCAAGTCAGCAACACCTACTATGGGTAAGTGTGGAATGCTGTGAGCCCACAAAGTGGCATTTTGGTATGCCGCAAATTAGCTTCCCCTTGGCACTGCTGCCAGGTAGTTTATAGCACACACTACCATCTCCCTGTCTGCTCCAGCTGGCAACTCTATCCTCCTCACCTCCGAGTATTATCCAAAATGAACAAATGAGAGCCCCTACCAGGTTAGCCAACGACCACGGGCCCTCCAACACACTGGCTAGACTAATGAGCTCTTCTAAAATGAAGGGTGGCAGAGAGGTCAATCAAATCCCCCTGGCCAACCTCAGGCTACATCCGTAACACAAACGAACATATTTTGCTTTTTGTGCCACGATGGACTGGGTGGATTTTGTGAATTGTGCATCCGTGTTTCCTCATCAATCGTGCATGTGAAAGTTCTCGTCACGAGAAGTTGGTATTGAGCAATTCACATACACGGTAACATACCGTGCAAACAAGAGTGCTGCAGAGAAGTGTATAGTAGTTGGTGTGAACCACTCTGCTGTCCATTTGCCTGTGGTCTAATATAACTTTCCTGCATATATTATGTTGCATCGCCCAAAGCACTACGTATGTTTCCCATCTCTCCCTCACGAGATAGCCCAGGTTTGTTGCTTGGGTGGGCACTGCACGTACAGTAGGTGTGGTGTAATATATGACGAAACAATAACTTAGTCATTCACATTGTCACAGTGAATATGCTATACTGACCATAATCCATTGTCTCTCCTCCTCCCTCCCCTCTATATAGACATGCTCAGTACTCCAACCAGTTCCGTGCCATGTTTGTCATGAACTGCCGTATCAACCGAGAAGAGGTCCTCAGACACGTCCCAAGGCTCACCAAGAGGGAGAGGCGTGGGAGGAGGGGGAGGAGGGGAGGAGAGGGAGGGAGTGGGGGAGGGCCAGGGGTGGAGGAGGGGGAGGAGGGGGCCGAGGAGTTCAATCCGGTCCACTGTGCAGAGTGCAACACAGAAATTGCCGTCTATGACAATGACGAAGTCTTCCACTTTTACAATGTACTGCCCAGTGCAGCATCCTAAATCTGTGTGCGTGCATAGATTTCATGTTGTGTATTTCGTGACGTTACATTGCGTAACGATTGATCACGTGACATATGCATGCTAATAAGTTTGAATGTGTGTGTCTGATGAAGTGCAAGTGAATTTGTTGAGCTCTCTTGGCTTGTATTAGGGGACGTACTGAACAATTTGGCTGAGCAGGCGTTGTTTGGCTCGAGTTTACCCCCCGGATTTTACAAAGAAGCACCGTTTTTTCAACGCAAGCAGTTCGTATTCGCTGGCCGATTTAGTCTACGTAGCACAGTCGATGTACATCTACGAGACGTAACATTTGTAAGAGAAAGGCTCACGGAGATAATATTATTGGCAAGAAAACGACGGTCGAGGCTGGGACACCTGTCGCGGTAGTGTTGACAACAGGAAGTTGGTTCGTGAGAGAGAGAGAGAGAGACTGAGACGCAAGGAGCTATACACAGAGAAGAGAGGGAGCCATGACCACGAGCAAGGACAAGATCCAGCAGTTCATGGAGTCCCCGCTGGTGTCGTGGGTGAGTACGGCCAGCCGCGGGGGAGGGAGGGGGATGGGAGAGGCGGGAAGAAACAGGGAGTATGAATAAACTGATGCTGTTGGAGACTCCTTGATGTGTGTGCCTCATGAGTGCCCCCTCACAGTGTGTCAATGGCTGTCTGCAGACCGTAAAAGCCAGGGTCTGGCCTCCCTGCTACAAATTGAGCTCTGTCCCGTCCTGCTTGCCCTGTATACCTCTTGCATGTCCCAACACACAGAGTTTTTGTCCGTGTGAGATAATAGTGCAGAAAGAACAGTTGCTGTGGAGCACGTACGCGTGTAAGACAGTAGTCTTGTCGATATGGCTACGTATGTCAAGTGGTTTTTGTTTCAACGAGAATGACTCTTTGGTGTGCAAGTGTACAGGTATGAGTGAAGGATTCTGCAGGTTTTTGGCTTATTGCTGGCTTTGAAATGTTTTGCTGATGGGGTGGATTTCTTGTATAAGCATACTGTGGCACGTTTGGAGTGTGCATATAACCCATATCCAGTCAATAAACCATGACCTCTTGTATTGCAATGCGGATGGCAAGATCATAAAGAGGTTGTATAATAACACACACTGGTTATTATTACGATCACACAAACTGATATTGAATGTGGCAGTCGCCGAGGAAAAGTGGGCACTCACCTACGTTACGTGCAGTTTCAGATGTTTCAGGCCCAGATATGCCAGTGTACCACTCAATATGGTTCCCAAACCCCTCCATATAAATGCATGGGCTCATAGACCGTGCAGAGGCTAATTCTGCTCTTGCATACAGCACAGTACGGTGCTGTGCGTCTAGCAACAGTTGTTGCAGGCTGTGCTGTAGATACATCCTGGCCTGTCATCCAGCACCCGCTAGTTGACGTAAGGCCCATGTCTGTTGATACAAGTTATGTTTGTGAATATATTTGGATGCCTGGGGGACGCTATGCGGCACTTCACCGGAGGCTGTCAGCGGTGTTGAAATGTGCATCTTTTGCAGCAAACGCAATGCGTGCAAGTTTGATGTGAGATTGGTTATTGTTACCTGTAAGTTAGACTGTGTGATGCGGTCGTGTTTTGTGTAGGGCAAAGATGTTTGATTGAGAATGTGGCTTGTCTATAGACAGGTATTGTGCTGTGTGTGTGTGTAGCAGTAGGTATGGCTTATGGCCTGTATGTATGTTTGGGCTTCTAAAGTTCTGGAGAAGCCATGTGGAAGGATGGGAGGCAGGAAGCCCTCATTTTCCTGTCTGAATGACTTGTGTGCACACTCTGACTCCGTCATTTCCCCTGCTTCCTTCACTTTTCTAATTCTCAACTGTCAATGGGGGACCGGTGGGACCTCAACTCCATCCCGTCCTTGTATAGGCCAATATTGTGTGAAGTACATGTATGTGTACATATGTCTATACAGGCGTATGAACGAGCTTGGTCGGTGGGTTTCTCATTACTCTAAGTTGTAATTAGTATTCCAACATGATGCCATGCATGTATCGAAGTTTAGTTAAGCTATAGTATGTGTTCATCTGAGAACGTATGGCATGGACTAACGGTACGGTTTAACTATTGCGTGGCATATCCAAAGTATGCTGTCGATACTGATGCTGGAAAGCTAGCGTGGGATGATTTGCCGCAGTTGTAGTTGTACACTGGCTAGAGGTGCGGAAATGTCCAGAGAAGAACATCAATGCATACCACGTTAGTCGTTGGTTTGTATTACAAGCATGTGCGTCAATGAAGTGAAGTCGTGTCTTGATCTACACAGGAGATGCATAACTGCAAGCGTTTGAGTGTGTATGTCCTGGGTGTGCCTGCCTGTGTTTTGTTGTGTGTGGGTACAAGTATGAACATGTACCACAACACTGTAATTTACAGCCACCAAATACCATTACCGCCCCTAGTAATCCAACTCTCTCTAATACTGGCATGGAGTGTGTGCTCCATCCTACAAGGATTCTGGCTTTGGCCTGTCTTTATTCATCTCGTGGGTCTGTCCCTCTTTATCATGTACGTTTTGATTGGCCGGTAACTAAGACCGTGATTTATAGGATATTCATCTGTGGAAACTGCCCATTAAAATCGCTGCTACAGTACTACACCCAAATAGGCCACATGGTTCTAGCAAAGAGCCAATCACACAAATTAATCTAATATTACAGCCTTTCTCCATGCATAATCATCGCCTTCCACATATTATCTCGTTATGTGAGGAATTGTCTCTATAATTGACCAGTAATTGAGCCTTGGTACATGTATTAGCTGCCACTTGGAACCTAAAGACATCAACTGGTTCGTTGCTGAAACCAGTGATAGGAATAAATGTAGTGCACCACTGTCTTCCTAGAATAGGACCGTATAGTACAGGTTCGTGCTTGGCAGAAAAAGAGCGGAGTCTATCTTTGGCTCTCTCTCATTGGGGGGGGGAGTCGGGCTGGTTTCCTGGGTATGAAGTCATGCATGTGTACATAGTGTCTGAATGAAATGGACACTCGGACATCACTGTATGTGGAGTCTTCTTGTGTGGGTATGTGGTACATTCTTGGCAGGAGAATGTCCTTGACGTTACTACATACCTCAATACTGTAGCCTAGTACCACCCAGCTTTGCTTATTTTATATATACACTTTGAAAGGCAGTTCTTTCGGTGTTGGTTTAGTTAACCAAGCATCGGATGCAGCATAGCTCCAACTCAATACATGGTACATGTCATGGCCTCATGTTGAAAGCTCATTCCACTCTTTCCTCTTCTTATATGGCCAGAACATGTGTGCATATGCTTAGAACTGTGAGTAAACCTGCAGCAAATACAACAAGTGCATTGTATGTAATACATACAACACGATGGAGTGCTGTCATACATACGTAATTATACTAGTGCAGTATGGATTATGATTAAATTCCTCCCTCCCTCCCTCCCCCCCTCCCTTCCTCCCTCCCTCCCTCCCTCCCTCCTTCCTCCCTTCCTCCCTCCCTCCCTTCCTTCCTCCCTCCCCTCCCTCCCTTCCTCCCTCCGAACCGCAGGTGAAGACATTTGACGACACAGACACAGTGGACACAGTGGAAGACCTGGCAGACGGCCTACTTCTCAACAAAGTCATGAACACTGTGTGAGTAACAGCGTATCATACATAGTAGAACAAGTGAACGCATTTGGTGAGCAAGCATGAGCAAGTATGTACTGGCGTTGCCTACGAGTTAATGTGGTATGTGTAATGTTTCCACACGTGAAGTGTCCTTTGAGACAGTATCAGTTAGTGGAACCATTTGCTTCACTGTTTCACACAGATTGGTAAGCCTGCTTCACTCCCAATTACTTCACTGTACAATACTAGCCGTCTATTTGCTGAGTGTAGTGGAAGAAAGACTATGCACTGGCCACAGTCAAGTGTACCCCCCAGTGTGGATAATGTTCTACTCCAGTGTGTACTGTAGCCAGCCACAGTGGTAGTATAGCTGCTGCCACTGATTGAACCCCCTAATGTCCTCCTGCCCCCCAGCCACCTTATCACTGCATTCCTCTCATGTTGCTGGCTAAACCTCTGTATTGCTAGTCTCCCATACACTTGCTGTATGACTATAGTACACATTGTTTTACATATTGTGAATGTAAAATCTTAGTAACTTTTTCTCTTTCTGTTCCCTATACTTCTCCCTCTCCTGTTTCTCCGTCCACCTTCTGTCCCCCCTTCCCCTGCTCAATTTCTCTCCTCTCCCTTTAACCCCTCCCCCTATCCTGCAGTAACGCCTCCAATTACAACATGTCCAAGGTGAACCGCTCCGTGTCCAGCGACCCGGCAGCCCGCACACAGAACCTTCAGCTACTGGTGAACAGAATCAAGCATTTCTACCTCACAGACCTCCAGCAGCTCATCATAACTCCCCTGCCCAAGATTGGAGACATCTCTGCCAACCCTCATCTCGGTGAATCAACACTTCACTACATACTGTATATATAGGTGTACATACGTAGTGTGGCTCTTAAAGAACACTTTTACTGTCAGTGTACCACTTAGGTAACTATTATTTCAGGTGACCTACTGCATACCCATACTAGGGACCCAAGGCAGCTACTTATGTAGTATTAAGCATTTTGGGTGCCACTTTCTGTACCATTTCCCCTCCCCCCGTTTGTCTGTCTACCTCTCCCTTATTCTCTCCTCTTCCTCCTCCTCCCCAGATTCCAGTCTGGATGAGCTGGAGAAGCTCCTGGTCCTACTGCTGGGCTGTGTGGTCCAATGTGAGGGGAGGGGCCCCCTCATTGAGAGGATGACGACCATGGGCATCATGCAGCAACAGGCCCTCGTGGTCTACATCAAGGAGATGACCGACACCACCAACTACGTGTGCTCCATTGACTGGAACGACCTCGGAGAAATCTCTAGAAAGTGAGAGCCACTTTTGTAGTCTTTGTAGTAGTGGTTTTAGTGGGGTGGTGTGTACCTTAGTACAGTGAGTGTGTGGATGGTGAGAGGGAACCTGTGTGTGGATGGTGAGAGGGAACCTGTGTGTGAATGTTGAGAGGGAACCTGTGTGTGAATGTTGAGAGGGAACCTGTGTGTGATGTGAGAGGGAACCTGTGTGTCGATGGTGAGAGGGAACCTGTGTGTGAATGGTGAGAGGGAACCTGTGTGTGATGGTGAGAGGGAACCTGTGTGTGATGGTGAGAGGGAACCTGTGTGTGGATGGTGAGAGGGAACCTGTGTGTGAATGTGAGGGAACCTGTGTGTGAATGTGAGAGGGAACCTGTGTGTGGATGGTGAGAGGGAACCTGTGTGTGGATGGTGAGAGGGAACCTGTGTGTGAATGGTGAGAGGGAACCTGTGTGTGATGTGAGAGGGAACCTGTGTGTGAATGGTGAGAGGGAACCTGTGTGAATGTAGAGGGACCTGTGTGTGGAGCTGTGTGAGGGAACCTGTGTGTGATGGTGAGAGGGAACCTGTGTGTGTGTAGATGGTGTAGAGGGAACCTGTGTGTGAACTGTGTGAGAGGGAACCTGTGTGTGAATGGTGAGAGGGAACCTGTGTGTCAATGGTGAGAGGGAACCTGTGTGTCAATGGTGAGAGGGAACCTGTGTGTGATGTGAGAGGGAACCTGTGTGTCAATGGTGAGAGGGAACCTGTGTGTGAATGGTGAGAGGGAACCTGTGTGTGAATGGTGAGAGGGAACCTGTGTCTAATTAGTTCTCCAACCTGTTTAGATGTGGTTCAAGAATTAACATTCCAACAACAGGTGTGAATGTCATACAGGGGCCCATTATTGTGTGTGTGTGCCATCATGTGTATGCATTTGGCTCTGCCTGCCATATTGGCTGCACACCTGTATTCCCAATCTGCACACAGTTATAAACTGCTACTTCTCTTTCCTAATGCCCCCCTCTTCTTTTCCCTCGTTGCAAACAGTAACCTAGAGGGACTGTGTAGGACAGCCTACCTCCATCTGCAGAGAGTGGCCAAAGAGAGAGACGGACATTTTGAGGTGAGCACCACACCAACCACTCATTCAACACTCTGTGCAGTCTTAGGACTCCATTCGCCCATGTGGCTATTAGTTTCAGCAAAGTAGTGGATCATACACATACGCTGTGCATTGAAACTCCCAATGCCAGGTTCACAGTACATAATTATGTCTAATAGCGGCGACATGCCGCACCACAATGGTAGAATCTGATTTGTAGCTCAGCACACTGGAGCAATATTATGTACACGTGTTATGTCATTGACCGGTGGCCCAGTGGCTATTTTGGCGAACTGTACTGTAATCCATGAGATGACCAAACAAGCATCTCCGTGTCCTCATGTACAGGTTCTCCTGGACACAATGGTGGAGAGAGACTACTACAAACAGGTGTTTGAGTCGACTGACGGAGGAAATGAGTCCCTGCCCAGGGAAAATGGCCTGGCTCTCCCGTCCACCCCCGTCAGGTCTCCCTCCGTCAATACCGAACTACTCGACCTCAAGAAGAAGAGCAGACTGACTCAGGAACAGCTGTACGTCTCAGTTTCTTTCTGTGACCAACACACTGAGCATTTCCCTTTCTTTCTCCTCACTCTTTTACTCTCTGCTGCTTCTCTCCCTCCCTCCCTCCCCCGTCCCTCCTCTTTCATCTCCTCCCTTCCCTCCCTCTTTCCCCTCCCCCCCTCCCTCCCTCTTTCACCTCCTCCCCTTCCTCCCTTTTTCCCTCCCTCCTTCCCTCTCTCTTTCACCTCCTCCCCTCCCTCCCTCCCTCCCACTCGTCCTCCATCCCCTGTATATCAGGGACCACAAGTCTCTCCAGCTAAGTGAGACTAGGGAGGAATTGGAGAGAGCACTGGCTGCGGTACAGAAACTCCAACAGGAGGTCAGTCCATAGTACCGTACCACTCAGACCTCCTACATACACCTCTCATGGCCAGATGAGTACGCATTTACCAATACACACGTACACTAACTCACTGCTGTATATATGACATCCCGAGAGCTTGCCAGATTGTTGATTTGGTGGTTGACTCCTTCCCTTATTTACCCACATTTCACTTGACCTCATACACAGACTATGTACCTACAGTATACATGCAATCAGTAGGTTGTAGTACTGCACAACTTGAACCAAGAGCCAATGTATTGTAGTGTGTACTTGTGTGAAGCTATAGTTGCTCATTGTACGATGTATGTATATATACCGCGTGTGTTTGCTCATAATATTATGCTTGCTTGTGGCGGTGTCCTCACAGAGACAGGAGATGGCCGCGGAGGCCAAGGCTGCCAGGATGTACAGAGATGAGATTGAGACACTCAAAGTCCAGGTACCATACGTGTACAGCATTACACCTGCCACCATGTGCAGCACTAACTATACTATTCATACTCTGTTGTTGTATCATTCGTTGCCCTCCTCTCCCCTGACTTCCATGTCTTCTTATGTAGTCCTCGCAATTTCCCTTGCTCTCCCTCTCTATATACATGATTACCTCCCCCCCCTCCTCCTCCTCCTCCCTCCTCCTCTTCCTCCTCCTCCCATTCTCCCCAGAGTGCCAAAGTGGAGAAGCTAGAAGCCGACGTGAAGAAATACAGGCAGAAGGCAGAGGACACAGAGTACCTCCGAAAGAGAATAGCTGTCAGTTTTGTTTGTTGTGTCTTTGTTCCATTGTCCCTACAGCTGTCTCCCTATTGACTAGCTCTGTCACGGTCCTTTGATATATCCCCATGTACGGTCCAATGGTCTCCCATGAATACCTCCTACTATTGTAACAGTAGAACACAGTACAGCCTTTATATGACACTGTACCTAGGGTATAGACAGTGCTGTCTCGTTTAGTTGTGCACATGCATACGTTTGCTTGCCAGCAATCTTTAATAAGGTCTCGACTTGTTTGCCTCTAGCCCTGAGCTACATATACGTGAGTAGTCACATGTAGTTTACAAGGCCTAACAGATTCAAACTGTGTTGTACCAGGGCAAATAGTACGTCATGTATCGGTAGCACAGACTGTTACTATTCAAGCTGTAATTAAGGTCTGAACTATACACATGTACATAACAACTATCAGACTATTACTATATTATATTCTGGCTATGTTCCATGTATACAGGGGAAGTGTGTGGTAATGAAAGAGACATTGGTTGGTGTTCTGTGCAGGACCTGAAGCAGCAGAACGAGTTGATGCTGGAGACCAAGTCCCTCCTGGAGCAGAAGGCAGCGTCACTCACGGCGAGGGCAGACATGGTGGACGACCTGCAGACGGAGCTGGCCTCGCTCCGGGCCCAGACGGAGTCCCTGGCCCAGGAGAAGGAGATGAGCGGGGAGAAGGAGGAGGAGCTGATGGCCAGAGTCACTCATCTAGAGCTGGACAACAAACACTGGTCTGCTCCCATGACCCGTGATAGATACCTTTTTGGTGGAAACCTTTGTTGGAGAAACTTGCGATTCGTTAAATTTGAAATTTTGAGGGGGGAGCTCTGTGCAGTAGAACAAATGTAATTGAAAGAGGGAGGGATGGGGAAATGTATTGTACTCAGTTGAACCCCTATCCAATGTACGTATATATACCTTCATACTGATGCATACATATTTCTCCATTCACATGTGTGCACCCACCCACAGTCAAGAGCAGATAGAGGAGCTGACCACAATGCTGGAGGCCGAGAGAGAGAAATCAGGTGTGCCTACTGTGGTGGAGCATTCAGCTCTTGTGTGTACATTAATATTAGTGCACTCTCTCTTATAGTGGGTTCTCTCTCTCTCCTTCTTTGTCTGCAGATGTAGGGAGCACTGGAGATGCCAGCAACCTTAGCTTTGAGATGACCGAGGCTGACCTGTAAGAAAACCGCTCTCTCTTCATCTCTATCTTCTCCCCGCTTCCCCTCTCTCTTCCTTCCCTCCCATCCTACTCCCTTCATCCGTCCCATTTCCCTTCCTCGCTCGGACCCTCTCTTTCTCCCTCTTTTTCTCTCTTCCTTCCTCCCCTTCTCTTCTCTTCTCCCTTCCTCCCTCTTCACAACTGAGTTGCAATTCCTCACCACCATCATCTTCCCATTCTCCGTGTACAATAATATGTATACAGAGCCTCCAAGGCAAAAGTCCTGAGATTGGAGAAGGAGGCCAGGGAACTGGAGAAGACGGCCGAAGCTCTGAGACAGAGTCAGGCCAAGTCGGCCGAGCTGGAGAAAACCAACAAGAAGCTCTACTCCCAGACTCACACTGACAGGAAAGAAATCATCAAACTCCGAGAGGTACGTAACTCACACTGTCTATAGCAGGAAACACATATATAGCATTTTAAAGGTGTTTAGGGTTATAGGGTTGCACTACTATGTGTGGATCATTCTTGATAGAACTTTGAGGGGGAGTTCCATTTTGTAGACTTGGGCAAGCTTTCCACGTGTCTCATAATATACCACTTTATATGGAAAAGTCTATTACAGTTTGGTGTTGCATAGAATTTGTGTATAGTCTGTTACCGCCTCCCCTCTCTCCCCTCTCCTCTCTCTCTCTCTCTCTCGCCCCTCTCTCCCCTCTCTCTCTGTATCCTCAGGAGGTGGAGGTGCTGAGAGTGAAGGCCAGTCGGGTGGACAAGCTGCAGGTGGAGCTCAACTGTCTGAGAGAGAGACTGGAAGACTCCTCCAGACACCAGACCAAACTCAAGGTAACCAACCATCCAGCAGTGATATAATGTACCTGTATACACGTGCATTGTGTGGAGCTGCACTATTGCCGACCTGCTGTTGAACATTGAACTATGCTCCTGCCATGTGTGTAGATTTGGTAGCTAACGGACTGTATGATTTCAATGTCCTCTCACGTTTAATGCTGTCAAATGAGTTGAATCAATCACTTAGACAGTTATATAGTCAGCGCCTTTGTGAGAATACTACAGTACTGGGCACATGAATGATCATTTCTCTCTCTCTCTCTCTCTCTCTCTCTCACTGGTTCCTCCCTCCCTCCCTCCCCCCTCTCTCTCTGTGTCCTATCAGGAGTTCAAGACGAGGAGCGAGGCAGCTCTCCAGGCCAAGGCCAGACTGGAAGATGAAGTGGAAAGTCTCATGACCAAACTCCAGCAATTCGGTGAGACACCACTCTCTGTCCTACACTGTAGTGTTTGTCTCTGCTATTGGCTCCAATTCAGTCTCTGTAGTGGAGTCCTACTATATATGTAGTGTATTGCTATTGGCTCCGATTCAGTCTCTGTAGGGGAGTCCTACTGTATGTAGTGTACTGCTATTGGCTCCGATTCAGTCTCTGTAGTGGAGTCCTACTATATATGTAGTGTACTGCTATTGGCTCCGATTCAGTCTCTGTATTGGAGTCCTACTGTATGTAGTGTACTTCTATTGGCTCCAATTCATACTAGTCATCTGATACGTACATTATTGCTCTGACTATTGATAGAAATTCAGGTCCTTTCTCCTCTACTGATGACTTAGCCCTCCATCTGCTGTACATGTCCAGCCCTCAGTATGACGGCAGTAATGTACATACTGTACTACATCCATTTCTCTCTCCTCTCCACTTCCCTCTCCCTCTCTCTCCTCCCTCTCTCTCGTCCCTCTCTTTCCTCCCTCTCTCTCCTCCCTTTCCTCTCCCTCTCCTCTCCTCTCCCTCTCCCTCTCCCTCCCTCTCTCTCCTCCCTTTCCTCCCTCTCCCTCGTCCTCCCTCTCCCCTCTCCCCTCTCCAGATGATATCAGGGACGAGAGCGCTTCTCTGAAAGCCCAAATCGAATCCTTCACATCAGTATGTCTCTCTCCCCATTCTCTCTCTCCCCCTCTCCCCTCAAGAGATAATAATGTGATTTCCAATTGTCCAGAAACACAGTGACGATGAGAAGAGAATTCAGGAGCTACTGGAGCAGAATGCACAGCTAGTCCTCGAGAAAGAGAGAAGGTAACTGTATAATGCCACGACCAGTGACATACTGTACTTTTCAACATTTTATAAGTAGAGAAAAAGAGTAGTAGAAAAAAGTGTTTAGCTAAACCGTTGAACTGCCAATATTAGTATATACATATTTACTATACAGAGTGTCTGATTATTACGCACTGTCTCCAGCTATCAGCCTCCTGACTGTATGATGTATGACACAGTGTAGCCCGTGTGTGTGACTATATTGTTGTGTGTCTCCCACAGTGGAGAGGAGCTGGCGGTGTTACAAGGTCAACTGGAGGCAGAGAGATCCCGGAGCAGCTCCGGTTCTCAGACCACTGTCACCGTCGTCAGTCCACCGCGACTCTCCGAGGCAGAGATGTGAGTTATTGTTCACGTTTCAGCTCTAAGTGGTTATGTGAACTGCAGCTGTGAAAACCACTTATAGCAAGTCCCACTGAACTTACAATGTATGATATAAAGTGTGTCTGCACTGACTTACAATCACTGTAGTGGGTTCATGCGAAGGTCAATAGTCTATGACCTTTCCCCTGTCTCTTCATCTCTCACTCATGCCATTTGCCCCAATGAATATCTCCACAGGGCCTCCAAAGCCAAGGTCCAGAGACTGGAGAAGGAGAGGAGAGAGATGGAGAAGACCATTGAGGGATTCCGCAAGTCTCAGGCCAAGCTGGCTGAGCTGGAGAAGACTAACAAGAAACTACAGGTTCGAGCTGCATAGCAACATGCCTATTGTACATAAGTATGTACTACGTAGGGGTTTCGTACAGTCTACTGTACATTGCTCATATATATTGGCAGTGAAAAGGTTGCATTCCATCACATCTGTTGCGTGTTTTACTGTATGTATATATACATCCAGATCTAATGCATAGCTTTTTCTCCTTCCACAACTATGAATGTAGTATCCTTCCAACGCCATTGCATGTACATACATATACATACATACAAGGGTGGTATTTTGGGAGTGAATGATTAAATGTGGCATTTCAATTTCTACAACTCTGCTGGGGCTTCAGAACACTATACTGTCCGGTCAATGTTCTCCTCCATGTGTCCCACAGGAGCAGACGCATGCAGACAGGAGAGAGGTGATACGACTGAAGGAAGAGCTGCTTGTGTACAAGACAAAGGCGGAGAGACTCAGCAGTCTCCAGTCGGCCATGAGGACTCAGGAACACAAGTTGGAGGACATTGACGCCGCCATGAAGAAAATAACAGTGAGCTGGGGTGAAGGGAGGAGGAGGAGAGAACGGAAGAGGGAGAGGATGAATTGTAGGTTGCAGATTGCTTAAAAGAAGGGAGGAAAGGGATGGGTGGGAGAGAGATGAGGATTGAAGGTGAAAGGAATGGTGAGAGGAGAGAATAAGTGTGCGTTAGTAGATGTTGTGTCAGTTGTCGTCACAGAAGAGTGATGGATGAATGGTGAGTGAGAGTATAGATGTATCTGTGTGGTGTACAGGAGCTGAAGCAGCAGAATGCTCTGTTGTCGGAGACGAAAGTCTTGCTTCAAGACGAGGTGTCTGAGCTGCACTCAAGACTAGAGAGACTCAGTAAGAAATTTGCCACACTTACTCGTACATACATGTTTACATACTGTATATATACCAGCTATGCCACTCCATAATTTCCTGGAACATGCACGTGTGAAAACGACACAGATGACGCACCTTTTGTACCTTTCAACAAAAATTTCCTCATATATGCGAGAGTTCTACAAAAACCTATACCTGTAGCACCCAGGTTTCAGGTAAATTGTTCCAATACGAGATGCGTTCACACGTTATCCTAGAGCACGATTTTACTCCTGCATACATATGTCAGGACCTTCGTAGGGTCCTGTTAGTCAAACTAACGTCATTACTGCCCATCTCTCCCTCTCCTCACATCAGACGACGTGCAGGCGGAGAACTCTGCTCTGAAGGTGAGGGTTGAGAGCCAGGAGACGGAGCTGAAGGAAGAGGGGCAGAGGATGCAGACGCTCCTCCAGCAGAACGTTCAACTGGAGCTCGACAGAGACAGGAGGTTAGGGACACTTCATGTCTGATTGCATGATCCTCATACCATGTATGCCACTGTAGGTTAGTGTAGGACTATAGCATTCCCATAAGCAGTAATTCATAGTTAGGAGAGAAGTGTTGGTCAAAACGCCAGCCCCTTGCTCTGGTCGGCTCTCCAACGCGCAACGGCAGCATTGTTTCAGCAGGCGATGCTCCTGTTTTAAAATTGGTGTGTTTATGCGGCGCTGTGCTTTACATTATGTTTGCCATTGTATTGTCATTTATTCATGTTGTACAGTAGGCAGTCACAATGTGTTTCCAAAGTTAGCTTTGTTGTTTGAAAGAGTGTGTGTGATTAGCATGGTGTGAGTGTGTGTGTGTATATACAGGGTGACAGAGCTGGACTCGATGCAGGCCGAGGTGGAGAGACTGAAGAGAAACCAACCACTGGATGAGGTTCCTTTCTCCCCGGCCGGCCGCCTCTTCTCAGAACAAGACATGTGAGTCCAGGACACCTCTCCCCCTCCTCTTTCCTCTTCTCCCTCCTTCCCTTCCTCCTTCTTCCCTTTCTCTTTCTCCCCCCTCTTACGTTTACTATGTAGCAAAATGAATTCACCCTCCTCACATCTCGCTGGTTATCTCTAGTTCCAGGTTCACTCTGCAGTTTATCTTCACTGGTCACTTCTGGTTCACTTGTCACTTCTGCCTCACTATGTCATATCTGCCCCCCTCCCATCTCCTCCTTCCTCTTCCCTTCACTCCTCTCTTCTTCTTTCTCCCTCCCTCCCTCCCTCCCTCAATCACTCCTCCAGAGCCCTACAGACAAAGGTGCTCCACTTGGAGAAGGACAAGAGAGATCTGGAGCAGGGTCTCCAGCTGCTGCGGCGAAGTGGGGAGAGAGTGGAGGCCGAGAGCACGTCGTCCAAACAGAAACTGACCGAACAGCTGCACAACTACCGCAAGGATGTCGCCAAACTCAAGGAGGTGTGGCACTCATTCAACACAATTTGAATGTGTCAGTGAATGGTCCATGGGCAAAGGGGGCCTCATTACACAACATTGTCGACGTAGTGTAATATACTCATTTTAATGAGAATGTGTTACTGTGTGCTCACGCAGGAGCTACAGAGAGAGAGGGCACAGATGGAGCTACTGCAGTTGTCCAGGACCAAGACTAGCGACACCACCCAACAGGACCAGAGACAAGCCAAGTCAGTCACACTATATACATGCATACTGTGGGACATGCATCAGTAGGATGTGGATTACGTTGTAAAACCTTACCTAAGTCAAAAGCTTTATGTTAAACAAGTTCAAAAAACTGTCTGCTTTAGTACGCTTTACCATTGGGACCCATAGTGCTTTGAGTGGATGTCAGTGCGAATTTTCGCAGAAAAAACTTTAGATTGCTCATTTCCCTGTTTGTACAAATTGTCCCACCCTCTTTTGACTTGTGTCTCTGCGTGTACGTGTGACTGTGTACGTGTAGGCAGATGCAGGAGCTGGAGGGCAGATTCAACGAGGCTTACTCCCAGAGCCTCAGCATGAAGGACGAGAGGATCCAGGTCCTGGAGAGACGGATCGACGACCTCGTGAGCGACAACGAACAGCTCAAGGACGAGGCCTCGCTGCTCAAGAGACAGAACGAGAGGATACAGAGAAAGAACTCCGCCTCCAACAGCCCCAGCACCTCTTTCAGGTTGGCCCACGACCAGGGGACACCTTAAACTTTCACAACCAACGCATTTCGCATTTGAAATCAACAAAGTCTTTTTCGCGAACACTTCAGATTTTAGCACACCACACAATCCAACTGACTGTTAACCAAACCTTTTTTCATGCATACGTTAGTCACCTGATCACCAATCAGCAGGTTGAGAGTGATATTCTCGACTGCTTTTTATTTTCCTTTTTTCTGCTCCCTCCGTCCCTCCCTCCCACCAGTCGTAGCTACTCTCCACGTGAGCTCCACAGACTCAGAGAAGAGGCAGCCAAGTCCAGGGAACTGGGTCAGGCCGTGGGACTCCTCCAACAGGAGGTCTGCCTCTCTCCCTCTCTCTCTTTTCCACCTCTCACTCTAGTATTCACCACCTCATCTCTAGTATTGTATACTGCTGAGGCCTTGTGTACAGTGTATGCGCTCACGGTTTGGAATGTAAGTTAGTCATGCCATGAGCTCTATTTATTAGCAAATTGTGTACAAAAGGCTAAAAGTGAATTTGTCACAAGCCCCGTTTATGAGCCTATTAATTGTGCAGAAATAAGGGTTGAGTCTGCACTACTCTACCACGTGGCCTCTTGTCTGTTAATCATCTGTATCTGTAAATGTGTCACTAGAACCATGGTTTGAAGGCAGACATGGAGGATGCCCGCGTGTACATTGAGAGATCAGAAGCGCCAACCAGAGAATGCAGAGCAGAGTTCAGGTGAGAATGAACTGCTCCTCGTGCCTGCTAGCATACTACCGCTAGCTTGTTAGCCACGCGTGTCCCTGTGTGTATAGGCTGTTTGGCATGACTTCATGGCCTCCCTCACACGTTAAACAGTTTAGTGTGTTTTGGACATGTGTACCCTGCAACATTTGGCTTACACTACCCCCTGCTGGTGCTTGCATACACCATGTGCAGGAATGCGTACACCACTAGCTGAGTTTATCCTAGGTAGACCCTTTGCATTGTCAGCACTGTGGTCTCACCATGGCTTTTATCTCGAAATTCACTCCCTCTGTCTTTCTCCCTCCCCACTCCCACTGGATCATGTCAGATGTTGGAGCAGCTCAACAATACTCTGGAGGAGGAGAAGAGGATAATGAGAGACCAGCTGGACCGAGTCATGGCCCAGAACCAGGAGCTACTCATGAAGACACTGGACAGCAAAGACCAGGTCATCTTGGAAGAGAGGATCTTCAAGTGAGACCTTACCCAGTCTTTGTAGTGTTCAATGTATAGCTGTGGGGGGGTACCACATTTTATTTGAGCGTAAGGCAAAGGTTACTTACGACACTTTCCCCCTAAATTCTAGATTGCCATGTCTGTAGCTTACCCTAGTTTCATACATACTGTGTGCTTTATGGTGTTTTTATATGGTATCCCAGCACAAGGCAATTGTGCTATTTATTACCCGACAACATTGCAAAGACCAGCCCGGTGTTTGACTCGGACTCAGTAGAATGCACAGTTTCGTTTTGCAGGGCTCTCTCTATGTATATACCTTGTGTCTCTTAACAACACTGAAATTCCCTCCCTCCCCCCTCCCTCCCTCCATCTTCCTCTGCCAGTGACAGACTGGGCGAGCTGGAGAGGGACAAGGCCAGACTCTCGGAGCAGCTGATAGCCCAGCAGAGAGAGCACCTGGTGAGGGAGATGGACATCCTCAAGAGGAGCAAAGGGCAAAAACCTCCTCAAGAAGGGCTTCAAGAAACTCAAGGGAAAGATCCAGGTGCATAGGACAGCGGTAAAACTTGGGTGTTGGTGGAAAATGGGTAGACCTAAACATTTCGTACTTTTAGCAAGAATTTGAGGAGAAGGTCATTTCCATCAACCATCCTGAATACTTTTACTATAGCTGGAAAGTGCAGTGTGATCCATACTTTAGAAGTGATTGTGTAAAATAAGTGACCTCAATTTTTCGTACCGTTAGCAAGAATGCGAGGTGTAAAATAGGGCGGCCTAAACCTTTCGTACTTTTAGCAAGAATGTGGGGGGAGGGCATGCTAAATAACCCTCCTGAATACCGTTACTGTAGCTGGAGAGTGCAGCGCAATCCATATGAGTTGAAAATGGAGTGGCCTAAATATTTTCGTACTTTAGCAACAATGTGGGGAGGGCGTGGTTACCAACCATTCTGAATAATATTTAGGGGAGGGACAGCGAAATTTGGGCGAGATAGGGATAGGTGCAGCACGATACCAGATGTGACAATTCCATACTCCAACACTATTCTAAGTACTACACATAGTTGGTTTGTCTCTTCTTCCATTCTTGTGCCTACAAAAAATGCGAAATCGTTGATACCTTTATTTAGGAGGGACAGCGAAATTTGGGCGAGATAGGGATAGGTGCAGCAAGATAGCAGATGTTACCATTCCATACTATGAATTACCTTTAGAAGTGATTGTGAAAAATAAGTGACCTCAACTGCCTTTAGCAAGAATGTGAAATGGAAAATATGGTGGCCTAAACTTTTCGTACTTTTAGCAAGAATGGGAGTGGAAGGACATGCCTATAAAACATCCTGAATACCTTGACTTTAGCCGGAGATTGCAGTGCAAATAACTCTTACGAGCGTATAAAATTCTTTTTGTACTTCATCTCATTGACGAAGCTGGTGTGTCCACAGGGTCGCAGTCATACATTTGAGCACGGAGACCTGGATGGGACGCAGTCACCGTCACACGTGGCCATGGGCCTTCCTCCCTACGCCATCCATGACGGTTCCATGTCCAGTAGTCAGAGTATCTCCTCCTCCAACAGTGGTAGGGACGTCGCAGAGCCTCAGGAGGAGGGGGAAACCCCTCACGATGGAGCCATCGCTGCAGGTAAAGGCGCTGTATGTGGAGGACTTACATTTGCAATTTGGTTGCAAACACCATAGTTTCGAAAGTTTCTATATACACATTGTTCCCTCAATAGAAAGGTTTCTCCCACAATTAGAAGGCTCACAAACTGCAAAATTCACAAGTTTTCTTTCTTGATATTTTTCTTGCTGCACCGTATACTGTTGTAGGGACTCATTGAGGGAGAAACACTCTCACATGCATACAGTTTGATGCCTTACACACCCATTCATCGACTCATAGAGATGCATGAGCAGGACTGTTTGTATCTTCGTCTCCCCGTCTCTCCCTCCTCAGCCGGCCAATCGGGACTAATTCCCCGGGGGCCCACCTCCATGGAAACTCCTCCCTACATGACGCAAGAAGCGGTCCAACACGATGCCGAGCAACGTGAAACTGCGTCACCCACCAGCCAGCTCACCACAGATCATGCCCGACATCAACGAGCACCTCATGTCACTGGAGGATTTCCTGGCAGAGAGCGACCGGACTCCCAACAGAGTGAGTCACAATTCTTATCCCTCTACTCAGAAACATCTGAACAAGGGACACCTTGGGGACATTGAAAGTGCCCAGAGGCGTCCTTTATTCACAGATGCAGTGTAATACACTAGTGCATTAGTATATATGTGGCAGAACCTTATAATAGAAAAAAATTTGCCTTTTATTTGGAGGCGTTTTCACTGTATATAGCATACCCTACTGTCAAGTAAAGAATTGACTGAGTGTATGTTGTACATTGTCATGTGACCTGCAGCGGAGAGTGATGGAGCTAAAGAGAGCGTCTCTCATCATCAACTCGCCTCCCATGACTCCTCGCAACAGTCTCCTCCTCAGTGCCCCTCACTCTGCCAGCCACACCTCCGGCGGTGGGGGTGGCGGGGAGAGAATGTTTGATCTCATGGAGTTCCTCGGAACCGCGACACACGTCCGCCAGTCCATCACAGAGGTGGACGAGGGTCGCGACCTCCAGCATCAGCTGGCAGCCGAGTTCCAGAGCCAATGCTCCGGGCTCAGCAGCCAAGGGTTGAGTCAGGGGCTAAGTCAAGGGCTAAGTCAGCTGAGCCAACACTCGGATGGCGGGAAATCGTCCGTCGCGGAGCTCAACATGAGCTTAAACTCAAACAACAACAACAACAATGGTGTTTTTGTGTTAGATAGTTCGGGAGGGGGGTTGGCAGTCGGTGAAGGAAGGAAGGTTCGCAGCGAGAGCCTCATGAGCATGGACGAGGTCCTTGGGGAATTTGATATCAGTCTGGCCACTGCTTTCTCGCAGTCGGGCACCTGGGGTGGCGAGGAAAGGCCCCAGCCTGCTGCCCCCGCCGATTCAACCACACACACTGCCACATACTCCACAGCAATGTCCTTGTCTTCGTCTTCACTGTCTCAACCTCCACCACCTCACCCCCTCCCCACCATCACCACTCACCACTCCTCCACTCGCCACCTTGCCGTGTCCCCCGAGGCTGAGGTCTCGACCAGAAACCTCTCCATACAGCACCAGAGACAGCACTCGCGGAGTTTCAACAGCGGACTCAATCAGTTTCTCGTCCCCACAGAACCCCGTCTCAGATCTCAGACTCTCTCCCTGGCCAAGAGCGTCAGTTCAAGCACGCTTAGTAGCCGGAGGACAACAGCAACTGCAGGGACTGGAGCCAAGAAGAAGGGAAAAGGAAAGGATAAGACTGGCAAGGCGGGCTCTAAAAAGAAGCATCAGCACACAGGTTCAATGGAGGCTCTGTCGGGAAAACCTCCTCTGGGGAGACCGAGGAAAAACAAACTAGTGTTGGAACCTCGGGGCCCACTGTACGGGACGGACGGAGGTGGCACAGATCTACGTCTGCACTCTGCTCTAATGGTGGAGTCTAACTCTTCCCATCTCTCTCAACTGACTCATATCGACCGCCAGCACGATGATGCGGCAGAGCTCCCTGCAGCTGTACCATCAGTCAGAGTGGGAGCAGAAGAGGAGGAGGAGGGAGAGAGGAGATTGCTCGATTTACAGGTTGCCACAGACGGAGAGAACAGAGAAAGTCTCTCACTGACTGATTTTCTTCGTCGCCCGCTCTCGCCGTCGAGTGGGGAGGGCGAGGATGCACTGGTGCAAGAATACGGACAAATTTGACTTTTTCCCATTGTGTATATATGAATAGCCACTATTTTTGTTACGCGTCCTACAGCAACACGTTCCATCACCGTTTCATTGTATTGTATGCATTGTAGCACTTTTTCTCTGCTGACTTCATAATTATTCATTGTGGTCGAAATGTTACTTCAGTGGTAGCATGGGTATGTGTGTGTGTGTGTGTGTATTTTTGTATGTGTCATCTGTTACAGAGTGTTTTTTATCCTATAGTATTCCTGTCTTTCAACTCTTTAACATCAAACTGAGAGAGCTCGTTGGAATTAGCATGCACGTAAAAATCATGTGAATGATGCATTGTCATACCTTACCTAAAAACTCATCCCTAAAAGAGGAATTTTTCATAATCCACGCAGAGAGGGTAAAAGGATATGCTTGGCATTATTATCTTATTGGAAACCAAGGAATTTTATGTTTCCGACAATTATGTACGTAATTATACCTGTCACAGCAGTGTTGATCATCGACCTCTGCCATGAACAGTGCTAGTGAAACTATTTAATACCCACACAGTTTCACTAGCTTATATGACATCCGTATATATACCGTGCACGTGTGTGTACGTGTGTACGACGTGTACACAGTGTTGTGTGTGCGCATGCGTGGCACGAGAGACGATTGTGTGCTGTGTGTGTGGCTCAGATCTTGACTTTGTTTGGACCGACCCGTTTTAGTGCACGCACAGAGAGCGAGTTTGACCAAGGGGCCGGTGTCTACCAGCTACCGACCTAACGAGTTGACTGCAGCGAAAGAGGATTGAGACAAAGACGAAGAGAGAGACGACAGAGATCTAAGCCATCATGGCGGACCCGGGCGCAGACGCTCGAAAGGAGCTAGACTGGGATCTCCACATCCACGTCCCCACGCAGGGAGTGAGGAAGAGCGTCCGAGTCACCAGCGACGAGAGTGTTGGCGCTCTCATGATCAAGATAGCCGAGAAGCTAGGTGGGTCCTCCACTCAGCTACACAAACTGACGGACCGTGTTTGCGCTGTAGTTCTATGCGGTAGAGAATTGAAGGTGCTGAGCGAAAAGTAGCCAAGTTTTTCTGAACGCACGGAGAGGCGCATGCATACAGCTTTGTAGCCCGGGTGGGGCGGCCGCGCTAGGCAGCGGACCCGCGCGTTCCTCGTTGGAAAGGTCTACAATAGTGGCGGGGTCCCATAATTGACTGAGAAGGCTCACTTGTAGCGTCCACAACATGTGCCTGCTGTGTGGGAGCTGCTGGTTTACTCTGTATGGTGTGCATGCATGTACTCACGTTGTACTCGTGCATACATAGGTGCCCCTTGCTTGCTTTGAAGTATTTTGGTTCTCCATTTTCTACACAAGGTGGAGGTGGGTGTAGCAAAGCAATAAGACGTTGAAGAGAGGGCCTATACATGGAACTTGGTATTCTCCCACAGTTGAAGGGAAGTGTTCCCACCATTGTGGGGGTTTACTGCCAGTGGGATAGCTACAGTGGGAGTGTCGTGTGTGTACATAGGGCACATTTATAAACTTTACTGTCACCCCCTAGTGATTATTGGTGCTTATACATAGAATAGACGTTTTACCTTCCTTAACCCATTAATTCCGGTGAATTCCGCTTATCTAAAACTCTTGGGACAGACTGTGTAAGATTATGTCAGATGACTTATACTTGTGCTTGGGGCCACTAAATATAGGTTATACTGCGCATCAATGGAAATACACGATTTAGACGGCCCGAGGGGCCCTGAGCTGTAGCTGTCTGAGTCAATCTGATTGGTCATTTGAATCTGCCAACGTTTAAACAACGAATATTTGCTTTTTACTACAGACACTCAGGTGTGTTAAAAGCGGACTACAGAATGCAGAAATTATGGGTGTGACTTAAAAGTAATCGACACTACTTTCTTTTCAGAATTGAGTGCGATATTTTAAGCAATAGTGGTGCAGCGAAGGATATGCTAATTTTGAATGGCGTGTATGAAGTGTGTTTGTAAGGCTGCTGGCAAGCTTTTCAGAGGTATGTGTCACGTGTACCCGCACCACCGCCTGGTGTGATTTGGCAGTGTGGGAGAGCAGGGTGGAGGGAACCGGTGAGAATGGTGGTGTGGTCCAATTCTTTCTCTCTTTATCTCTGGTTTGGCGGCACCCTCCCTGGTCGCCCTGCCAGCTCAGTGGTCGCCTGATTAGTTGGGGTGTGTTTGTGTGAGTGAAACTCTTCTGCATTTCGATATGGTAGCCTCATTGCTTAGCTACATACGATCACTTTGGGACTGTACTCCACCTTGAGATATACATATACTTCCAGAGGTGGTTCTTTTGTACTCATACCTCAGTACACTCACATCTTGGTGGGAGGGTTGATAGTCGCTTGCGGCAGACTCCATAATAAGCACTCTGTGTTATGTGTGTTTTTCGCTGGCCCTGATTACGTACACACCTTGGAATGTTGTGGTCCTAGAAATGCAATTCTTGCTTCATATGTATGTATATACGACTTCTCCACATATTTTATTATACAGTGTATCTCAAAGTACACCGGTGTATTAGGGATGGGCATGGTACGAAGGATGTGTGTGTGTGTGCCTTGTGAAATGAGGTAACAAGGCAGTTATTGGTGTTTTCCTGGCGTGTTTGGTAACTGCTCGCGGCAAGAGGAATGCTGGTAATTTGCGATATTGGAACTTTCACTGGGTGCCAAGTTGCTCTCTTAGCTCCGCACAACACGTGGTGGTCCCTGTAGGTTTAGGCAGGGTTTCACATTCATCCGTGTGTCTGAAATCAAGACACCGATATTGTTCATCCATATTAGGGAGGGTTGCAGGTATATACTGTTTTGGGGGGGAAAGAAAATTAGAGAGGTGTCCTCATTTCAAGGGTGTCCTTGAGCAGTGTTCCAGTTCTTGAGCAGTGATGGTTTAATTGTGGGGGTAGAAAGCTTGCTGCGCTGCACAGTGAGAGAAAGTCAATCAATGCCATTATAAATTCTTCTCCTGCAAACTGATAATAGTACAATAGTTTCCCAACCAAGCCACATCCTGGGGAAGGCACACGATATTCATCTAAATTCCAGGGGCCCACTGCGGCAGCTCATTGTTTTGATAGCCAGTGGCAGCCGGAGGAATGGACATTCATGGACTTTTCCGTAGGCAGTGCCTCCTCTGTATATTTGGCCTGTGATGTAATATGTTTGATCACTGATACAGTCAAAAGAATAAGAAAGCCAAAAGCCACAGCACCCCTCCAGTTAAATGCTTTAGGCCTTGATGGCTGGATCCTGTCTGTATACATATATACCCTCTTGCATAGTTTATCATCTATTCTCTCTCTCTTCTCTCTCTCACACACCCCCCACCCTTATCTCTCTTTCTCTTCCCTCCCCCCTCTTCCCCACTCCTGTTCACTCCTGTTCACTCATCCCTCCGTCCACAGGAGATGCGGACTGGTCAGACTACGCTCTGTGGTGGCCAGACAACAGGATATGGCTCAACAAACCACGGCAGTCTCTCTATGCCTATGGCATCATGTCCGATGCCAAGTTGGAGTTCAGTCCAGTTCATCGACATCTCACAGTCGAGCTGCCCGACAGACACCGTTACCAGGTCTGTGTGTCTGTCTGTCTGTCTGTCTGTCTCTTCGTCTGTCTCTCTCTGTCTGTCTGTCTGTCTCTGTCTCTGTCTCTATATCTGTGTGTATGTGTGTGATGCACTAACTGTTCACAATGCATCGCTGGAGTCGCCATGATACAATGCGATGCAAATTCACAAGAATCTCGTGATAGAATGGCGTTCACATTGTCCCTCTGCATCGCATAGAGTTGCGTCATGGGAACTACTACTTCCATCTTTCTATAACCTAATGATTGGCTGGCCTTTTATTTCAACCTGCTTGCCTGGAGCCCTAATCTATGTAATAAGTCACAAATACTTTATATGTATTACGGCTGAATTTTGCAATAAGGGCGTGGCCCTATCTTCACTGTATGTATGTATGTATAGTATATATAGTCTGTTGGTTGTACGTTAGGTGCGAGTCAACTTTGCTGTGATGACGTTCTTCACTGTGTGTGAGATCTGCCAGGAGTTGAACGTGCGTCACCCGGAGGAGATGTCCCTCATAAAGTCACCGGACGACAAGGAAGGCTATGCCAAGCTCACGGGCTGGGCCAAGAGAAAAGGGGTTAAGGTGGGCAAGACAGTTATGTGACATGCTCACAACTAAGTGCAGACAGTTAAGGCAAAAGGAATGTGTTTTGCTATCTATCTTGCCCTGTGGTTTTGTGTGTGTTGTACACCTTAATTCACGTGTAAAAAGTGTTTAGTAAATCTTGTGCCATCTCGGACTGATTTTACCAAATGCCCGTGACGTCATTTCTTGATGCAACCCAGACATGCGTGAAAACAAGTGTGCCTTTACTATGTGCCTGCCTGTATGTGGGAGTGGTCTTACAGCAGGGTCTAACAGTTCACCAACATGGGTGGTAGATCACAGAGCCATGTGGCCCTGAGAGTGTTCTTTAGGCAAGTCGAGTAAGCAGTGTGTGGTTTGTCGGCCGTCCCCGTTGTTGAAAATTCCGTGTGTTGTATGCTCTCTGTATGTACATCTTCTCTGTTTGTGTGTGTGTGTGTGTGTCCTGCAGCACAGAGGAGGGTCCCGGGAGGGCACCCCCAGTCGGGGAGACGGGGACACTCTCTCGGTGGACAGTGGCGACATCCTGGGTCACAGTCCACCCAGCAGTCCCGGCCAGCGACGCCGCAAGTACCCCAACCTGGCCCTAGCACCTTCACAACGCTCTGAGGTCAGTCATGTATACATGTACCCATAGCTGAGGCTGTTGTCCTCTTTACTGCATCCAGTCTTTACTAAATGTGACTCTGTCTCACTCTCAATGCTGTCTTTATCTGCCCTTCCTTCCCTCCTACCGTCCCTAAACTCAACGTGTATAATTGTATAAGACATACATAGATGGCAAAAATGCGCCTGCCTCCTTCTGTATCCATTGTCTATGATTTGTATGAAGTCAAGAACAAATGTCTGGAATGGCACACAATAGTGTCTGTGATTGGAGTTGTAAAGCTGTGGTCCACGATGGTGGCTTGTTTACATTTGTATACTCTATCTCTCTCAGATTGGAATGTCAGGGTCCACTCATCTGGGAGAGGCCGAGACGAGTCTGTTCTCAGACAAACTGTACAGAACTTCTCACGAGAGGACCTACATCAATGGCCTGTCAGTCAACACACACGTGCATGCACACACAATTCATTCTTCTCTCCCTCTAGCTTCGCTTCCTTACTGGTTTATCCTCATAGGTTGCTGGTATAGTAGGCAGTTAGTTACCACGCAGACACCTATTTCCTTTTAGCTTCACTGCCTTATTGGTGTACCCCTCTCTCTTTGGTGGCTTCACATATTACAACTCCACACGGCACTTGTGTGTAGGCACTGGTACACAACTATGAACATGCGAAGCTATAGACTGAACTCTGTGTACCTAAACACACGCCCTTACAGTCCTACCATGATTGTCTGGTAGAGGTCTTCTGTTGGGCCAACTCCACCCAGTGATGTGTGAGCCCTGAAATGTCTTTACTGTGCCTACAGCAAGCAGCATTGGGTTACACCACATTGTGCTACACACTGCTCTCCATTCACCGATGACCTTACCTCTTGCTATGTACATGTAGTTCAAACTACAAACATGTATATATGCACACACACATATTACACCACTGGTAGTCAATACAGCCTTTTGTATGTCCATTCACCTATATATGCAGTACACTACAACATGGCCCCCATACTATTGTAGCATTTGCATGCTCAGTATGGTTGTTTAGAGACATGGGTTAGGTACCCATGGTATTTTGCCTAATGTGTTAGTCTTTGGTAATGTCTGAGGATCCGTGAGAGCCACCTTCCTGTAGTGTGTATATACCTCTTTTGCTCTATATATATGTGTGTTAGATTAGTTATTCCCAGAGTGTTTGTGGCTGGATGTCAGGAGAAGCATGCGTTGGCCATATAAAGAGATGACGAGATGAGACGGACACTATCTCACACTCTCTCTTTCCAACTGCCGTCTTACTAGCTGCCAAGTCCACAGGGCCTAGCCTTCTGCGGTTGTCACCCGCCTATTGCTGTATATAGCATCAGGTTTCACACAGCCCCACCAACTGCCAATTGATATGTACACATATCTCGGTCTACTATGTAATGCATGCTAAGCTTGAGATTATTACACTGTACAAGTAATTTTAGAGGACTCGAGTAAGTAAAGTAATTTTAGACAAATACCACTTCATTATAGGAAGCCCCTAGTCCTGTATGTTATGCATAATATCTGATGTGTGGTGAGTACGATGGTGAGGGAATGGTGTCATGATGCATAATGTATCTCTCGCGATCGGTATGTAAATAGAATTGTGTACATACACACCACCACTCGAGTGGAGTAAACTCTACATTACTGTGTCCCCTGTGCATGACATCATTATGATGTCATAGTAGTAGGAACTGGCGTGTGAGTGAGTGGCTCCATTGTGTAGGTGGCTGGACTCCTCCAAGACTCTCTATGAACAGGACGTGAATGCGCACGACCTCCTCTACCTTCGCTTCAAGTACTTCAGTTTCATGGACATCGACCCTCGGGTGAGAACCAAATCTACTATGTTGTTAAAGAATGCAACGTACTGATAGGGGGGTTACTAGTGTACTATACTTAATGAAGGCGGAATAAGAACCACACCTATTGAAGTGTTGTAAATATTGACCAAACACAACTCCGTATCAGGAAATTTCCAGCACACAAATGAGCTGAAATTCTGCGATGTGTACACTTTTCCCTCTCCTTCTCCCCGCCCTCTCTCTTCCTCTCTCTCCTCCCCGCCCTCTCTCTTCCTCTCTCCTCCCCTTCCCCGTCTGTGTACAGGTGGATGACTTCCGTATTGCCGAGCTCTATGAGCAGGCCAAGTGGTCCATCCTGACCGAGGAGGTAGACTGCACCGAGGAAGAGGCCTACACCTTCGCTGCTCTGCAGGTAATGCATACTGACATCGGCAGCAACTCTTCATTGTTCATAATTTAGGGTATCATGTGATATGTCCACATTGTAGTAGGAAACAAAACATATACCAAATATACCACCAGTTCCTCTTTCTATCACTCTCTCACACACACGCACTCTTCACCCTCCCCCTTCCTCTTCTCTCCTCTTCCCTCTCCCTCCACAGTTCCAGGTGAACCTGGCCAAGTCCCAGGCCCCCAGCTCCCTGCCAGTGGCACAGACCACCACTGACAGTGGCGTCACCGACATTGACGATGCCCTCACCAACCTTCAGGTGCGTACATACATGACCTTATTGTGGACCCTTTGCTAGTCCTCCGTTCATCTTGTGTACTACTTACTGCGGTGACTGTATTGTCTTTAACTTTTCTGCAGAATCAACTTGGCCAGACTGACAAAGGAACAGTGAGTTAAACAATGTTTAGAAGTACATTTTAAGTCCGTTGGACCCCTTTTAGATGGATATGTACATATAGCTACACTTCCAATGAGGACCTTCTGTAATAAGACACTTGCTTCTGTGCTCTATTAATACGATTGAATTTTCACTTCTGAATGAAGAGCATTTTCAATGTCCTCAATGTGTGCCCCTTACTCAAAGGTTTTACTTTATATACACCACCCTCCCCCTCCCCCTCCCCCTCTCTCCCTCAAGTCTGAGAGTCCGGCCCTCCAGCTGACGGGGTACTGCAAACTGATGCGACCGACTCGCCTCACATTCAAGACTCCCAAGAGACACTTCCTCCTGCTCAAGGGCACCATGCTCTCCTACTTCAAGGAAGAGGAGGACTTTACTCATGGCCGCTCACCCATCCAGAGACTCAACCTCACTGGTATGGTGGGCTTCATTTAGAATATAGTTCAGGCCGACACTCAACCTCACTGGTACGGTGGGCTTCATTTAGAACTATAGTTCAGGCCGACACTCAACCTCACTGGTACGGTGGGCTTCATTTAGAACTATACTTCAGGCCGACACTCAACCTCACTGGTATGGTGGGCTTCATTTAGAACTGTAGTTCAGGCAGTGTGACTCAACCTCTCTGGTGCATACTTTTGACTCTCTTTTAGAGACTTTCTCTTGTAGGCCGAATCTCAGTGTCTCACTTTCCAAGAATTCCAGCAGTGCCTACATGTCACATTCTACTGTGTAACATACTTATGGTAGCACAGTATGCCAACGTAAACAGACCTTAGGCCATTGACTCCCTAAACATGTCTGTATTTGTACAATGTGTGTGACTGGTGCAGGGGCGGAGGCTCTGTCAGACATGGACATGGTGAAGAAGAAGTTTGTCATCAACCTGGTCATGCCCAGCTCCGACCAGACCGGGGAACTGCGACTCATCTTTGAGACGGTGAGCCGCTGTCACACATACTGTTTGATACCCACCACCACTGTTTATATAGTATGCCGCAGAGGGAAGCTTGTGTTATAGATTGAAGCAATCTCTATGAACAGTCTAGACACATATTAAAGCAGTTAATCTAAGCCGTCTTGGTTCAAATAGGCAACCTTTTTAAATATGTTACGCTTGCCCTGAGACCTTGTGGTTGATCATCTACACGCATACAAGATGTCTAGAGTGTAGCTATAGGAGGTGTAGCTGTGTTCTTCAGGCTAATTCCCCCTATCTCCTTCCTCTCTCTCTCCTCTCTCTCCTCCATTTTCACAGAGTGACGAGTACTGTAGTTGGATGGCGGGGTGCAGGATGGCGATGAAAGGTCGACCGTTGGTCAAACAGGGCTACGAGCAGGAGCTGTCCAGTATCCGTGCCTTTGTGTCAATGCAGAACAAGTCAGACAGCTCCGGAGGGGCCTCTTCCACTGACCATGGGGTGAGTTCATGTGTACAGTGAAACTACATGTATGGGGTGACTCAGTACATGGTCCACTGACCATGGGATTAGTACAGTGAAACCAGTTCCACTGAGCATTGGGGAGTACAGTGTAACCTCCACGAGGATGCCCTGGCTCTGCCCCATTATGTACTGATACATGTTGTGTTAAATCTCCGAGTAAGGGACACGTCTTCTTGTTCTCAGGAGGAGCTGAAGCCAGAGGATCTGGTCGGACCTCGTCTGCTCAAGAAAAAGAAACCAAAAGAGGTGTGTCTTGTTTTGTACACGCTAATGTCTTATCTTGCCTATGCTGAATGCTGTGTGAAAGTGATAGCTGGCACGATCGTTTATTGTGTAGACTGTCAACCACTCCAACCCTGATGCCTGTGTAGGCACGTGACTCCCACACTCAACTAACCACCCACTACTGTAGTCTAAACACATATACACCTCCATCTCTCTTTTTCTCCTACCTTTCTTCTTCCCCCCTCACTGCCTCTCTGCCTTCTCCTCCCTCCATCTTGTCTTCTCACTTCCTTTCCTCCACCCCCCAACCACCATACCAGGTTGTTCGTCAAGTGTTGGATGCCCATGCCTCGATGCTAAACCTCAGCGTCCAAGATGCCAAACTCCAGTACATCCGCAACTGGCAGGCCCTTCAAGACTTTGGCATCGTTTACTTCCTCGTCAAGCAGGGGCGCTCCAAGAAAGAGGTGAGATGACCACAAACCTTGTCTCAAGCTTTCTTGTAGTTTGTGCAGTAGTCAGAACCTTTGAAGGGAAACCCCCTTCGCAAATTTTGATCACATGACCATCTATACAAATCGTCCCTGCCCCCAAGCCCCCAAAATTTCACAGAAAAGGCTTTTTGCAGTCAGGTCAAATTTTGTGAAACGCAATGATTTCCACTCATAATATTACATATTACTCGTCATCATAGGCGAGTGGAGCGAAAAAAGCCCACCTAGTTGTCTGAATTTTGCCATGAATACTTGCAATATACATGTGTATGTAATGTGCAGGAGCTGCTGGGGATAGCGTACAACCGACTGATTCTCATCGACCTCCACACCATGGAGCACAGGAAGACGTGGCGCTACTCGGCCATGCGCTCGTGGAACGTCAACTGGGAGTCGAAACAGCTCCGCATCGACCACGAAGAGGACAAGCTGGTGTTCCAGTGTCTCTCCGCCGACCTAAAGATCCTCCACGAGTTTATCGGCGGGAACATCTGGCTCTCGTTGCGCAACGACAAGGACCAGCTGGACGTCGCCATGTTCGTGAAGTTGACCGGAGGAGTCACCAACAACCTCCAGGGATGGGGGGCGGAGACAATGACACGTTTCCTCCAATCGTAACGCCCGATGAGAGAACTGTGCGCTGCCACAGCTGCAATGGCACGCTACCAGTAGCAATTACTATTTCGTGTTCTCTTTCTCTGCGCATGTGTGTGTGCGTATCTTTGCACACACTGTGTACCCTTCAATTTTGTAGCGATATAAAAAAAATTAACTTGAAAGTCGTATAGATTTCCACACAAATTTTTATTTGAATGTTCTGCCTTGGTACAGAGCGCATACACAAACACACACCACCACATCTTTCCCTTTAGATCACGTGACGATTTATTTGATGTATTTTGTACAGGAAATAATTTGTATTAGGAAATTACAAGTGCGGTTTTCGCAGCGTGCGTGGGACTAGACTGCGACCGCTATAGGGGGGCGTGGCTACATTGCAGCGCGAGCTAGCTGTGCGATCGATTGGGGGTGGAAAATAGTACCAGAGCTAGCTAACTGCGTGGCGAGTGGAGCCCGCCAATGGACGACTGGGTGCTGGACAGTCTAGTGGGGTTCCTCAAATCGCCGACCTGGAGCCTCGCAGTAGGTGGCTTCACAGACAAGAACTGTGTGGGTGAGTACTCTAGCGCGAAGACATTGCCAGAGCTCGTCGTCTGCAGCAACAGCAGCAGCAACTGCAGCTGCATGCCCAGCAGCGAGCACTGCGGGCTCATGGTGCTAACCAGGACGTTGTTCTGTCTCATCCAGTGTTTGACCCAGGAGAAGAAAACAAGTTCTCATACACGGACATTCACAGAGAATATCAAAAGCTGGTAGGCCTGCTTGCTTATCTACCACTGTTGTTTACTCCGCCAGCACCTTGGTTGGCTTGTGTATGCACAAGAGGACTCTATTCAGACTCACTCCATGTATTTCAGGTGGAAGGTTTGCTGGAGAAGTTCACAGCTGAACTGGGGATCAGTGGAGACCAGTTCACCCATGCCTGCTCCCTGCTACAGACCAGCAAGGCTGGCCAAGAAAATGAGGTGCAGTGAAACCCTTTGAGTAAGGGGGACATCAGTGTTTTGTTTATTGATAGGTGTCCCTTATTGAAAGGTAATCTAAGTACCAAGAGAGAGAGGTGATTTTTTAATCCTTTTCAGAGGTTCCACTGTACCAATGAATAACCTTGTGGACATGGAAAATGTCCCTATTTGTAGAGTCCCTTTGTTGGAGGTTTTTTTTTACACTCAATGACTGTCCTATAGGACCTGTTTGAGCAAGTCCTAGCAGCAGACGATTTTCTCAAGTTCAAAGAAAACATGGTTCGCCGGAATATCGACCTGGAATTACAGGCACTCACCCTTCTCCAAAAGCAAATGGGACACTCTCCCAATGTCTATGATAAAGGGAGTGTTTCTAGAGACACTGGGGCTATTGGCAACAGCCGGAAGATATTGGAAGAAGAAGAGGAAAGGTTACTTGAAGAGGTGGTGAAACAGTCCGAGGCACAGTACCAGCTGCAACGCTCGCTGGACGACGAAGAGCTGCAGAGACTGATAGAGCAGGCCAAGAGA